TCGTCAAGAGCAGCTGCGTTGACATGCGCAGCTGCATTTTAAGCAGATTCTGCCGCGCATCGCATGGACTTGTTCACCATGTGATGAAGATCCAAAAATGGATGGATCAGACCAAGATAAGTGCTCCCTGTCCCTGATATGATCTAATGGTTACCACATCAACATGATTTTGACTGAGTGACTACCGTCTGTGGGGGTGATGTAAAGGGGTGAGTCTGTTACATGTAATAAACCCTGATACTCGTTAATTAGATTATTATCACATAGATTGATAATGTTCGTGAATATTGCCATAAGTGGTAATATCCTGAAGCACTCACTGATTGGTTGATATGGGCTATCACATCAGCCAGCTCTAGCGGTCCAATCAACGATGGACACGCGCATTGAGTGGTGAGCAAGACTCTAGCATACACTTTTGTAGATTAATATGATGAAGTTAGGACCAAACATAGGCACATGTAATGAAGACTTAGTTGTATTTAATACAGTTTTACTCTCTTATCCCATTGAACGCGTCTTTCACTAGCTAGACTTCCTCTGCACGTACGGTGTACGTAAAGTGACACGCGACACTACGTACACTGTTTTCAGTGTGGGTGCACTATTACTGAAGCAGTACTAGTGACCAGTGCCCCGTGACACGCGGCACTACGTACACTGTGTCAGTGTGGGTGCACTACTACTGCAGCAGTACAAGTGACCAGTGCTGTAACGGGGTAGCCCGTTACATGATATTGACGCCAAACGGTGTCAATAGGAAAATGGTTTAGCATGACATTATCCTACCGATATTATCCGGGATGGAAAGTATTGAAGGGATATTACCCCCTTTTGGATAATATTCATGCGCTGCTCCAAGATTGGTTGATCTAAGACATATCAACCATAAATTGCCACCAATCGCAGCTAGACGCGCAATGAGTGGTGAGTAGGTTGTCGTCATACGACGGCGTAGTTTAATATTGTTGGATAACGATTAAAGTTCTATTGATAGCTTAACTACATTAAATTCCAGTTTTCTTTTTACCTTTACTTGACCGAGTCGTTCAAGTAGATGACATTCCTCTGCACGTGCTAGTGTACGTGAAGTTTCGTGGCAATCCAAACAAAGGGTGCCACGTTACACATGGCAGCACTTCTTAGTCCGTCCAACGACTACTTAGTGTCCTTCCAAGATGAACATGTTGGACGTTGAAGACGACAGCTTTCACGTCACACGTGAAGGCTACTCCCATCTAAGAGACTCAGAATGGGAGGTAGTCGGCCGCATGAGTGTGCTCATGGGCGAACCCGCCATCAGTGGCATGTTGGAGTCTCTGAGCAGAGACCAACAACATGCTGCTATCAGCAAGTTCCTACAAGGGGACTTGCTGTCGAAAGACAGAAGATAGCCTTACTTCAACAGCAAGGCTCTCATTTGTCGATGGGCGGGCCGACGCACATGCGTCGACCCGAAACCTTGAAGATAAATTTCTCAAGGTACAAGGGAGCCGATGAAGATTCCCTTTTGAGATGGTTCGTCGAGTTAGACGACGCCATCAGGGCCCGTCACATCGAGGGTGACGAGATGTGAGTCACCTTCACCCTATCAAATGTGACAGGACGAGCAAAGACTTGGGCCTTAGGGCTCAAGCTTCACGACCTAAACGTGTTTAAGTCGTTGGATATCTTGAAGTTTCGGCTCAAAGAGACGTTGAGCCGCCGAGAGCCGAGTACAGAGCACGCTCTGCACTTTTGAGGCTAAAGCAAGGTAAGCGTGAGGTGCACGCTTACGCACAGCACATGCACCACCTTGCGAGTAGCGTTACGGAGAACCCTGTTGATGAGCGTACGCTCATCAACGTGTTCATCTACGGCCTTGTGGATGGACCGGTAAAGACCTACATGTTCCGAGAGGACTTCCAAACGCCGGAAAAGGCGATAGCGAATGCAGAACAAGAAAACATCAGCCTAAGACAGTCTCAGGCTAACTCGTCCAACTATCGTCCGACGAGGCGACAGGAAACAGGAGGTCCCGAACCAATGGACCTCTGTTACATCGAGAGCGAGAACTCTCGCTCTCTGAGTCACAAGCGAACGGCAAGATGCCATCGCTGTCAGAAAATTGGACACTACACTCATGAGACTCCACTACACGCTAGAAGGAAAACAGTACGATGATGACTTTATCGAATTAGATTTGGATGACAATTTTGATGTCATTATTGGTCTGCCATGGCTTGGAAAGTACCGACCATGGGTTAGCTGGCAGCATCGATTCGTGAAGATGCCTGCCGTTTGTTCATCGGATGGCCTTCTGATGAACGTCTTGGAGCATCCACAAGCGTGTGGATGTACGACGAGTGAGTGCGATGGCCTCACTTGTGGTACGGTCGTTAGTACGACTGCACAAGATCACAGTGTAAAAGGCCACTACACTGTGGAACCAGCTTCCGTCACCTGTGTAGAGACACAGGCTGCTCCGAAGGTTCACCACTCGAAGAGATCGAGTGGACTGGAACACGGATGCACACCAAGAAGGACGCATCCGAGATGAAAGACAGGTGACGCTCAGGATGAACAACACGTTGAAGCGAGATCGTCTATCCGAGAGTCGATCGTAAAGCAAGCCCGATCGACTGAAAGAGAGTCTATCGAAGAGGACGTGACCGTGATAGTACCCGTAATGGAAAAAAGATTCAGCGTTCCTGAGGGTGTTAACTCTTGAGAGAGTTATGATGAGGGTATATCCTCAACCACCTGCGAATGTGTTTTCCCAGAAAATCACCGAGACAGTGAATGTCTTGGTGAATGACGGATCAAGTGTAGGCGCTTATACACTTGATCTGGTGATGCCCCAGAAGTTAGCTTCGGAGGTGGTCAAGTTGCCAACGCTAGAATCTAAAAGATTCCTGCGAGATCTGCGTAGTGACAAGATCAAGCAGATCTGCGTACTCATCACAGAGGACGAGTACGTCACCGATAGTCGGTCGGCACAAGTGTTTGCTGAGCACGAACGGGTTCTCAGTAGATCATCGAGGACGAGAGTGTCCTCGATAAGAAGACTTGGATTGAGCGATACACGTCTCAATCTCGGGAGCCTTTGAAGACAAATCCTTTGTATACAGATTTGGTCAATTTTAAGGGCGTGTTCTTTAAAATCCAAACCATGCGATTTGTCTTAGGACAAAGGCCTTCGACATGAATCAAGCTCATACCAGGCTCGAAGTGCTGTGTCATGAAGCAGTGGCCACTGCCTCGTGAACAGGTCACAGCGATCGACAAATTCTCTGCCGATTGCTCAGCTGCTGGTCATGTGAGGGAATCAACATCTCCACACAGAGCTCCGACCTTCTGTGTGCGAAAGGCCACAGGAGGGTGGCGGATAGTGCACGCGTTCAAAATTGAATGCTGCAACGGTACCAGCTTAAACGCCGATACCGAGTAAGGACGTCATCTTTGATGGTATGGCAAAAAGTACCATCTTTTCTTCCATGGATCTGATAAATGAATTCTATCAGATCCTCATGCGTGAACGGAGCACCCCATAAACAGCAGTGAGTACCCCTAGCAGTATGTTGTGGGAGTGGCTAGTACAGGGGCTAAGTAACGCCCCCGGCGACGTTTAACAGATGTGTTACAGATTTGTTGCGATCGGTGCGCGACTTTGCACCGAGCTACTTCGACGATGTCTTCGTCCATAGCCGGGCTATGGATGGAAAGACTGACGTGAAGTTTCATAGAATACACGTCCGGAAGGTTCTTACTCTAATGCGAGAGCATAAGTTGTTAGCGAACCTCAAGAAGTGTATATTCGCAGCGAACGAAGTTCCACTTCTTGGCTGCATCGTGGGTAAAAACGGTGTACGCCCGGATCCAAAACAGATCAAGGCGATTAGCGACTGGCCTCTGCCGGTCGAAGTCAAGGGACTTCGAAAGCTCCTTGGCTTGGCAGCGTACTTCCACAAATATTCGCGCAACTATGCCGAGATAACTGTACATCTCTCTTGTCCGCTAAAGAAAAACGAGAGGTGATCATGGAGTGCTGAGTGTCAGCACTCTTTTAAAGGCATGAAGAAAAGTTTGGTGCAATTGCGTGTGTTGGCGATTGCAAATCAGGATAGGCCATTTCTTGTGGTCTGTGACGCCAGCGATTTTGCAATCGGCTGCGCGTTAATGCAGTACGACCCAGAAGGCGTTGAGCGCGTCGTCTTTTATCAATCGCGTCAGCTGCAAGCAGCTGAGCGAAATTATCCAGTGCATGACAAGGAACTCCTTGCCATGAAGTATGCACTGGCTAAGTTTCGGGTATATCTCTTAGGATATAGATCCTTCGTCGTTTATTCCGACCATGCGTCGTTACTCACGGCCGTAAACAGTCCACACCTCTTGCAACGAATGGCGAGGTAGCTGTCTTTCTTCGCGGAGTACAACTTCTCCGTCGAGTATAAACTAGGACGAATTAATGTCGTCGCTGATGCTCTTTCGCGTTGGCCGATTTCGAGCCGACTGCTCAACCCAACAGTAGGGGTGATCCCACTGTCGCGACACTAACAGTGAGTGTTCCGTCGTCGAATACGCTCGCTGACGTGCGAAAAGCATACACAGAAGATGACTATCTTCTGCGACTGATGGACTACGTATCCAATCCGTGCAGTCAAGCTTTGAAAAGCTTGGCGTCTCAATACCGCTCTTCAACCGAACGGTATACGGTTCGTGATGGACTGCTGTACTATACAGCAGTCAACGGCGACACACCTCGTGCCTTTCTTCCCGCTCATGATGATTTGCGACTGCGCATCTTGTATGAGTGTCACGATGCCCCAACAAGTGGGCATCGCGGTAGAGAAAAGACTTACCTCACGGTAAGTTGTGACTTCTACTGGCCCCGCCAGCATGAATTTGTGCGCAAATACATTCGCGCTTGCGAAGTTTGTCAACGGGTGAAGCTTAGTCCTACATTTCGAGCACCCTAGCAGCCTCTTCCGATTCCGGCAGAGTGTTGGCAATCCGTATCGATGGACTTCGTCTTCGGGTTTCCCAAAGACGCTCACAAGAATACCAACATGCTTGTGTTTGTTGATCGGTTCAGCAAGATGGTACATCTTGTTGCTGTACTGGAGTCAATCACAGTTCAGGGCTGTGCGCGTGAATTCATCGATACTATCTTACGACTTCAAGGATTATCCCGTGAACTCGTGTCGGACAGACACCCCCGCTTTACAGCGGAGCTCTGGCAATCCGTGTTCCGTTCACTTAGAACACGTTTGACGATGTCAACTTCTGACCATCCCGAAACAGATGGTAAGACGGAACGCGTCAACCGCGTCATCGAAGATATGCTTCCAGGGCACGTCCACTCGTTTACGAGCTGGAGTGAGTTCTTGCCGATGGTAACGTTTGCCATTAACAACTCGGTGTATGCGTCCACGACACATGCACCGTTTTACGTGAATGGCTTGCGCCATCTGCGTGTGCCCACCTTACTAGAGTGTAACTCTGGTTTATGGGGGGGAGGGACTCGCGCGAGCAAAAACCGATCCGATTCTTGCTCATCACCCGCCGACAATGGTGTCGACGTAATGGATGCCGATGTCGATGCGATCGATGCCGATGATGATGATGAGGACGATGCTGGTACTTTTAGCATCGCCAATGACACAGTGAGGATGATGACGCCCTCACTGGTGAAGACAACGTACTTTCAGTAGTGCAGACGAAGCGCACTGCTGTTGACAAGGATGAATCAGCAGAGGAATTTCTGCTGACTCGCGAAGCGGTTGTCCGCTTCGTTCAAGACTCTATTGCAGATGCACTGGACGGACAGAAAAGAAACACAGACAAACATGGAAGAGAAAATGTTCTTTCATTTGATGAAGGAGACCTAGTTTTACTTTCTACAGTAAACCTACCGAAACACGCAGCGGCAAACGTGGGCAAAAGTAAACTACTGCCCGATTGTATCGGTCTATTTCGTGTGTTGCGCCGAATGGGCAACGCTTACACGATTAAACTGCCTCGTAAGATGCGCACGCATCCTACGTTTTACGTTGGTCGTCTGCGCCCGTACCATCAGTACGAGCCCGTTTCGAAATGCGAAGAACACATCTACGGTCGAGAGCCGAGACCACCTTCGAGTGGTCCCGTTTCAACGAACCAGTCTGGTAGACTAGCGAAGCGACCTGTTCACACAGCTCAGCGATTTCTCGACGACCTGAAGTCAGCTTGTCAGGAAGAGAACGGACCGAGCGTTCGTTCTCAAGTTGCGCGAACGCAAAAGCGGCACGATCGTCCGAACGATCGTGCGTTAAGGAATTATAGTTATCCCTCACACGATCCTCAAGCCCATAACGCCGAGATCGTTCATGAGGTAGGTCATCTTGCAACTGTTCCGTTAAACGGTTCAGCTCTTAAACATCAAGTTGATCCCACCCTCGAGCCGGATCAGGTATTCCCACCGCCACCACATCCTTAGGTGGACTCAGGCGGTGGTCAACGCTTTCTGGTGGAGCGTATTTTGAATCACCGCGACATGAATAGCGTCCGGACGAGTTAACTCGTCCGCTGGCGTGGCTACACACCGGCGTGGGACAGCTGGGAGCCTCGTGCCCAGCTGATTGCTGATGTCTTGGGTCTCGTCTAGCAATATGACGTAGACCCACCCGCTGCGTTTAAAGAAGGGCCGTCGGAAAACGACCTTACCGAACGCGAGTACAGAGATTGCAAAGTGTCAATCCCTTCGGCCATCTCGAAAAGATGCGCGCCTCCAGAGGGATCATTAGGGAGGGAGGACTCCCTAGGGGCACGCTTAGAGTCGTCCAGGTAACCTGGACACGAATCACCCCACGAGAGACAGGGTAATCCTGCCTTTCTTGAAAGCCAATGCAGCTTGTATCGCGCCCCGACTAGGTTGCGTTTCTCAAACCTGATGCGAGCTGCATCAAGTTTGGCGATCCAAGCCTCACGGCCAATACACTCGATGTTGTGGGTGAGGGCATTCCGTCCCTGCACCAAGGCTTTGCCGTCCCGAACACGGCTACCATTGTACCACCGATGTTTAAAGAACGCATTGGTGAATAATTCTTCCTCAGCACGGATAGTTTCCGTGCTAGAATTAGGTGGGCAAATCTTCCTACAATCGAACAACGGGATTCGATCCCGATCAATAGTCATACCGTCCAACCGGCCCAACTGTTTGGATGACGGCATCGGACGAGACTCCACTTAAGTAGCGTGGTGCAGGACATTTCGGTCCCTGGTCGCTTGATTGGTGTCAGCATAAGCACTCACACCAGTAACACCTCGATCCCGCGAGTGAATTCGCTCGTGGTGATGTACAGGTGCATCACCACCATACCCACGCGTCCTATCGTTAAATGGACTCGCGCGAGGCGAGGATTCGTCGGAACAATCCCTCGATCCGAAGATCTCGAGCATGATGCCGCCACGTTGATGAGAACCAGTCAACCTGGCTCTTGCTGTGTCCGCTCCGGGTAATACGGAGGCGTGAGGTGTCGCCTTTGAGTCGGATACATCATACGACTCGCCAGAATAGCTGAGATCTATTTCAGACTCATCTGGACTACGATCCGCGGTACCTGCTGCAGACGTAGCGGATGTACCTGTCGCACGTGGTGACTCACCACGTGGACTGTTCACAGCAGTAGGTGACGAATCACCTGCTACTGAGGTGTGAGAAGAACTATCTCCGGATGCACGCATGCGAGCAGCCGCCTTTCGTGCTGCTGCAGTAGCAACTCGCTTGGGCTTTGGAACCATGCGTTGGATTGGCAAACAAATGGAATTTGACCAATAAGTGCTCCCTTTCCCAGAGTGATCCAACGGTGGTCACCCTGTCTTAATCAATTATAATTCAATCAAGGGTGATAAGTGGTTAAGGGGGGGGTGATGTAACGGGTTAGCCCGTTACATGAAATTGACACCAAACGGTGTCAATAGGAAAATGGTTTCGCATGACATTATCCTATCGATATTATCCGGGATGGAAAGTATTGAAGGGATATTACCCCCTTTTGGATAATATTCATGCGCTGCTCCAAGATTGGTTGATCTAAGACATATCAACCATAAATTGCCACCAATCGCAGCTAGACGCGCAATGAGTGGTGAGAAGGTTGTCGTCATACGACGGCGTAGTTTAATATTGTTGGATAACGATTAAAGTTCTATTGATAGCTTAACTACATTAAATTCCAGTTTTCTTTTTACCTTTACTTGACCGAGTCGTTCAAGTAGATGACATTCCTCTGCACGTGCTAGTGTACGTGAAGTTTCGTGGCAATCCAAACAAAGGGTGCCACGTTACAAGTGCCCCGTTACAGGCAGAAGTTGTGAAAAGAAAAGAGAAATCACCCATTGCCTTCTTTTTGCTAGTTTTGAAAAAATCAACGGACAAATCACATACATTGTTTGTGGATTCGCACGGTGGCGCATGTACATGCCACTGAACTATACAGGAAGCTATAAGTTCCGATGTCTTCGTCGCCAGCTACAACAGCCACTGATCAAGATGCGGCCAAATGACAGAATGCCACCTCGACTGACACGCCCACATTTGCGGTCTCAGGCGGCAGCACTTGCAACAACGCCCGCCCACGTCGAATCGCAAAAATACTGTTGGATGTTGCGAAACGAGATGACACATCAATAAATATTTCGACCCCGAGCCCGCAAAGAGATCATACGTGATCTTACCTCCGTAGATTGCTTGAACAAGATGACAGCATGCTAATTGTTTGCCTTGAAGGCTTGAACAATTACTGCAAAATCATAAATCGGCGGCAGGTGCTCTATCATGAGCTTCCAATAACCACGCAAGTAATGTTTCGGACAGTGAGATTGACATAGATCTTGCAGGAGAAGGAAACCTGCTGGATTAGCTGTTTGTAGACAGCGCTGCGACCTGATAGTAATGCATTAAAGGGAATACGTTTTGTGCTAGAGGTGTACAGCCGAATCGTAGCATCAAAGCCAATAGTTTCCGAAGCATGCCAACAGAGTCTTGGCCAAAGTTCTCTCCAGCACCCTTCAGAATTTAAGAGAGCATACGAGCTTCGTAAGCGTCAAGAGCATCTCTGCTTCCTCACGGTTTTATCTGGTTGCTAGTCTATAAAAGCCAAAACAAAACGTCGGTATCATCAAGCTTTACATCACTCGTGATGCATTTCTTCATCAACTTGAAACTTTGAGTCAAAAGAGAGGATGGCGTGCACTCCATCGTGGATCGTGTACAGTTTTACGCCTAGCTTTACATCTTTGCTACGAACAGACTCAGCGTGACATGACCTTCGCTTCGACACAAGCCGACACGCCACGTCACTCATTGATATAATGCTGATGCGTTCTACATTAACTTCTGCTCAACCACTGTGCAGTAACGCAACACCGTCTAGGAGATTGCAGCCAGTCCATTGTTTTGGAGCTGCGTGAGGCTGCGTCACGCAAGACTGGTACCGCGTCACATGGAATCGCATGCATATCAAGTGGGCAGCAGTGACGGCACTGTGAAAGATCGTCATGAGACGATATTTTTGCAATGACTACAACTACACGAGCATCGCCGTCAGATGTTTCCATCTCCACCACACAGCAGCCGTTGCAGCATCGAATATTCTCAACAAACGCTTCCAAGTCTGTACGAACTCGCCGCTCCGCCTTCCGCTTGTTCTTTCCATCATCATCATCATCATCATCATTATCATCATCGTTCCCCGAAAACAAATGTCCATCGTTTTCATCATTCCTCTCTCACTCTCACACTCACAAACCCGATAGAACAAGCCAATCGGTTTTCACGGGGTACACCGCTCAGTTGCCATTCCGCGCCATGAAGCGAGGAGGTCTGCGGTCGCAGCAGCAGGAGGCGGAGCGAGTGGCGCGGGAGCTCATGGACGCGAAGATCGAGGCGGCGCATCTGCGGGAGCGTCTCCGACTGCGCGTGGGCGGCGACACGACGGCCGCAGAGCTCGAGGCCGAGGCGTTCGCGCTGCAGACGGCGCTGGGGGAAGCGCAAGAGACGCTGCAGACGCAGGCAGCGGCGCTGCAGACGCTCGAGCTTAAGTACGAGCAGTCGATGCGCGGGATGCTGCAGCTGGACGAGGCGTGGAAGCTCAGCAAGGCGCAGACGAGGGCGGCGCAGGACGCGCAGCAGGTGGCGGAGGCGGCAGGAGAAGCGCAGAAGCGGCGGAGGGACGCGCTGGAGCGGCACTTGGAGGCTGCGACAGGGCGAGAGACGATGCTGATGGGTCGAGTGGATGAGCTGACGGTGCAGGTGGAGAGAGCGGAGCGCAGAAGCGACGAGGAGCGACGGGCAACGACGCAGAAGGAGCTGCAGATCTGTGAGCTGCGCGCGGAGCTGGAGACGACGCGACAGGCGTTTGAGACGCAGCGGAAAGAGGAGGAAGGCGCGACGAGAGAAGACGTGAGGAAGCTGCAGAGCCAGCTGCAGGAGGCGCAGGAGCAGGCCGCGGCGTTGAGGGGACAAGTGCATGCGAGACAGGAAGAGGCGGCGGCAGTGGAGAGGGAACTTCGAGCGGTGAAAGAGGCGGAAGCAGAGGTGAAGCAGCGGCTCGTGGCGTTGACGGAAGAACATGCGACGCTGCGAGTGCATTGGGAGTCGGTCAAGGTGGTGGCAGCGGAGAGCACGCAGCGGGCGGTGCAGGCTGAGACGGAGAATCGCAGCATACGGAGGGGACTGGCTGAACGGGATGACGTGGTGCAAGAGAAAGAGCGAGCAGTGCGTGCGCTGGAGCAGGAAGTTTTGCAGATGCAGAAAGTGGTGGAGCAGGAGTTGATGAAGAAGAAGCAGGCGATAGCAGAGACAGAGCAGCGGTTGACAAAAGAGTCGCAGGAAATGCTGCAAGCGCAGGAAGAGACGTGGAGCTGTCGAGAACGAGCGCTACAGCACGAAGTGGCAAAGTACGAAGGGGAAGTAGCTCGTGTGCGGGCGTTCCACATGGAGCTGGCCGAACTGCTACAGATGAAGGAAGGCGGAGATACGGTAACCGATCCGTTGCAGAGTGTCGAGCCCACCATGCTCAAAGCGTTTGTGGTTCAGCAAATTAACAAGCAGGAAGTCCTCACGGCAGCATTGGGACAATTGAAGGCGAAAGCTGGGGCGATGAAACGGCAGCTGCGGTTGCACAGTCGACTGGAGGTGGAGAATAGGACACTTCGTGCTGAATACGAGAAGGCAAAGCTAGCGATGGAACGGATGGCAACACGGAAAGGAAAGAGTGGCGCATTTGCTGCTTCGTTGCCAGTCCGGCAAGCCGGCAGTGAGGTTGGTAGCAGCAGTCCTTGCGAGAAAAGTGTTGGCAAGGAGATCCGGTCAGGAGGTCGGGAAGAAGTGCCGTTTGTAAAGCGGAAACTGGAGGCAGACGAAGAGAACGAGGTCAGGGCAACGCCTCGAAAGGCGCCGCGCACCAAACACGTCTACGTAGCTTCACGGTATATGGATAGTGCATCGAAGCGCTGATCATTGACTGCTGAGCCGCATTACGAAGCATGCTGTTTCCTTAGGCACACTTCAGTACACTAGTCCTCATAAATCTTTAATTGACGAAAATAAATGCGAGTCGTCATCGTAAATTGTTCGCAAAAGTCGCGGCCACCTGCAGTCCAAACGATGCCGATTGCGTGAACCAGACTTAAAGTTCGTGCTTCTTCATCGGCATGGCTTCCTCCTCGTGCTGAGTGAGTGACCAGCCCGGTACACTTTTCTGATCTTTGACCCGCAGCCGGATGCTCTCGAAACACTGAAACGCCTCGGAAGGCTGAATCTCACCGTCGACTATCACAGCGGAAGCAGTTTCCATAGCGCTAAGGTAGCACGGAATGTATTCGTTCACACGACCAAATGTCGTGAGTACGCCACCGTTGCTGAGCTGCTGCGGGTAGTGCTTCGAGCAAAGCTGCGCCTTATTCTGTTGCACCCCTCCCCAGTAGGGCGCCCACGCTATGGACCCGCCGTCCTCAAGATTCTGTCCATCGATAGCAACCTGTCCAACACGTCAAGAGCACATTGTGGTTAGCGACTACTTCGTCATGAGCAAGTAAACAAAAGGTCAATGCCCCCGCTTCTAGTAGTACTCACAAAGATGCTCTCGTTGACGAAAGCAAAGGTGGGGTCCAGCGAGAAGATCTCGACGGCTGCTCGCTGCTGCATTTTCAATTCCTTCATCACGTTCAGTGCCAAGATGCTCACCGCCAGCAGCAGCACCAGTATCTTGGTCCACAAACGGTGGAAACAAGTCACCGTCACCAACACACCAGCAACCACCAGCAGCAGCTGCCGCACCACATACCCGTCAATGCTCATCACGAGCGTCCAAACACTGTCGTCCAACTGTCCCAGCGGTGCATCAGAGCTCAGTCCAACCGCCAGCACTTCCTTCACCAGCATCAAAAGTCCTTTTCCTCCGTCCAGCAACCGCTCGGCGCACTCAGTAGGCGCCTCAACGTGCACTTGCCTCCAGTTCGTCACCGCACTCAGTGTCAGCGGCTTGGAGCTACAGGACGCGCCGTACAGCGCCATGACCACCGCCGACAGCGTCAGTACATTCAGCAGCACTTTCAGCAGCGTCCCCGCCAGTCGCGGACTCTGGAGCGGCCATAGCGTCTCTGTATGATGAGGCACCGAGACGTAGAGCAGGATAGGAGCTACAGTCACAACAGCGAGCGTCCAGACCACGTTCTGCAGCCACGAGCCGCTTGCCAGCCACTGCTGAGCCAAACTGGGCGCGGTCAACGCCCCCGGACGCACCAGCCAATCGTCTTCATTGTCTTCCGACTCGTCCGAGTCCGAATGCCACACGTCGTCATCTCCATCACCAGCTCCATCGTCGTCGTCGTCGTCCTCGCTGCTGTCGTTGGCCGAGTTTTCTTCCTCCAGCTCGTCCCAACGGCGTCCCGAGGCGTCGGCTGCCAGCATCGCGTCGATCTGCTCGTCCTTCGTCTGGATGTACGCGTCGTTCCACTTGTCGTCGATGAACACGGGCTGCTTGGACGCCTTGGCGCGCGACCGCGTGAGCATCTTCCAGGAGCGAGCGAGGAGGCGAAAAGAGCTGCTCGATCAATGGCTACGTTGACACGGTTTGAATTAAAGCGCGGGTGACGCCATACAAAAAACAAGAGCAAGAGGTACCCATATTGTAGGCGTATACACCGACTGTATACACTTGATACTGTAGCCATCTCTTTGGCTACATTTTACATCCACGACGTCAGCGGAAAAAGCGGCGCAGGTCGTCCAAGTTCAGGCGCTCGCTGCGCTGCTCGTCGCACGCCTTGGCGACCACCAGCACGCGCGTTGCGAGCCTCTGTTTGCGCTGCTGCAGCTGCAAGATCATGTCTTCGACCGTGTCGGTCACCACGTAGCGCTTCACCTGAACGTCTTGGGTCTGGCCGAGCCGATGCACGCGATCAATGGCTTGCTCCTCGACTCCAGGATTCCACCACGGGTCCAGTAGAATCACCACGGACGCGCACGTGAGGTTGAGGCCGACGCCACCGGCTCGCAGACTGATGACGAGAATCTCCACGTCTGGATCCGTAGCGAACTTGGTCAAGACGCGCTCGCGTGCCTCCCGGTTGAGGCCGCCGTTGAACGTGCAGTGCGAGAATCCGTGACGCGAGAGGAGCTGCGACACCATGTCCAGCATCGACGTCCACTGCGAGAAGACAACCACTTTTCGCTTCTTCTTGGGCGACGTGGCACTGCGATTCTCGAGCTTGATCTGGGTCAGGTCGCGGAGCAGCTGCTGCAGCTTGGCAGACTCGAAGCCTGCGCTATTGTTATTGACTCTAGTCGCAGAGACAACAGCGTTGGCGTGCGTGGTCTTGTTCAGTGGACTACTGTCTTGAACGTCCTCATTGTCCTGTGTCCTTGATGCAGACGGTGGCGGTAGCTTGTAAACCCTGGCAACGTCGACCACGGTTCGGCACACGGGGCAACCGTCTTCGGGATCGTTGGCAAGACTGTCTCGAAGACACTGGCCGCACAATACATGGGCGCAGGGTGTCAAGACTGCGTCGCGCGGTGGATCCAGGCAGATCGGACACTCTTGGGAATCCAAGTCGTCTTCGACCTGAGCCATCACGTTCTGGATGTAGGAAGCCGTGAGTCCCCCTGTCATGATTGCCTCGCTGGCTGATCCGTCACGTTCGTCTTGAAGTAGCTGTGGATGGTTGCTGGCTTGCATACTTTTCTGCAAGTGAGCTGCAATGCGCAAGTAGTACGCTTTAGAGCTCTCATTTGGCTGAGGCTGGAAAGCTGGCTTGACGTGTGCTGCTGCAGTCGCTCCTGTGTGCTTGGCGTCGGACTTTAACGCCTGCTCGAAATCTTTTCCAAGTGCAAGTAAAGGATGGTCGCAAGCTTGGTGGAGACGGAGCAACAGGGCGAAAATGGCAACGTAACTTGTCGCTGCTGTACCGCTTGCAACAAAACCGTTGAATTCAGCCCTGCTTCGATCGTATACTGCCTGGTAGAAGGCACGCTCATCGGGCGAGAACTCTAGCTTCACCAATTCGACATGCTTCGGGGGTAGCTTGACAATCATATTGCCCTGCTTGTCTCGTGAACGCTTGGTGCGGCGAAGCAATATTGGCGTCAGGATCGCCTTCAAGCGACTCAACGTGTTTACATCCTTGCCGTCTTCGTACGGTTTTATAATCACTCTCTTCCACCAGGCGATTCGAGACCAGGGCTGGTACTTGAGGAAGCAAAGCAGTGAGAACATGTCATCCAGAGTATTCTGAATGGGAGTGCCCGTCAGACACCATCGATGTGTAGCTTTCAAGGCCGAACACGTCTTGAAATAGCCTGCGGACCTGTTCTTGATGCTATGAGCTTCATCAAGAATGACACGGTTCCACGTAGTCGTCATAACAGGACCATTCCTGCTGAATTCTGCTGATAGCACTCCGTACGTGGTGAGCACGATGTCGCTCTTGCTGAAACGTGATATAGCAAGACCTGTGTTTGTGTCACGGTCATCGCCGTAGTGTAAGCAAACGCTCAGAGTGTCGGGACGGAAGCGTTCCAACGCTTCATTTTTCCACTGGTGAAGTAGACTCAATGGACAAACCACTAGAGTCCCCCCTGTTGCCTTCCTGCTTCTCTCACTTGGCAAGTCGTCGTCGCTCAGCGTTTTTCCACCGACGTGCTTCTGGTAAGCAATTAGCGAAAGCATCATCATTGTTTTGCCTGCCAAACATCCACAGATATGTCAGTCACGTCTCATTTGCGTCGACGTGTGGACATCGAGACTTGCTTACCCATTCCCATATCGTCTGCCAGGATTCCGCCTAGACAAGGTGCAGGAGGTCTTGGTCGAGTAAGCGACGCACTTTTTTCAAATGGATTCACGAAATATGTGCTCTGCGATCGGAATCGACGCTCCTTCCACATCTGAGCAGAGAGAAACAGCTTCAATTAGTACAGTAGGCGTCAACCATAGTGTCGAGTATTACTGACCAAATCGTCGATCTGCTGTTCACAAGCGCCTTCTCTCAGCTGATCTTCTCGCCACAGCATCCACCTCAATGCCTGCTTTTGATGGTCTCGCAGCTTGATCTCATTCAGGTATTCTACAAGGTGCTCCGATGGGTCCTCTTCCAAGCGTTCAGCCGCACGGTGAAGTTCCTTTTCTCCACACTCAGAGAAAAGAGTGTCCAGATCTTCAGGGTTCACCTGTGACGACTGACCATCTGGCCCAGAGATTGATTGGGACACTTTGGCATCTGGAGAAGGTGCTACAGACCCATCAAACTTTTGGAGCAGCTCGTACAGGTGATCGGAGAGGTGGAAGTTCGGGTTGCCTTCCGTGAACACGTCAAATGCGCTTCTTTTGATGCAGACAAACACAAGCACCTACAGCATACCACCAACGAAACTCAGCTATGAAACAATACCCAACCAGTATACAGCACCACCCAGTACACTTACATCAAACGACGCAAACATGCGCGACGACACAGGCAGCACTTCACACACGCCTGCGAGTTTGACAAGTCCGCTTTTCATCAACGGATGCAGTAGCAGCTCCATGTTTCTCTCAAGACGCCCAATCTGTGTGCGCTGCAACGTGGCAACCCTCACGATCCCCGACACCGCGCAAGGGCTCGATAGCCCGGGTCTCATCCTCTTTTTGCCGGCATTCTCCGCCTGCAACAGCAGTCCCTCACCTGCACATAGCTGGACGCCCGGGCGGGTCACCAGAGCTTGCATAGTCGTCTTGCCCAGCACCTCAACGTCCTCCATCTCCCTGTCCATCATTTCCATCAGCTTCTCCAGTCTTTGCGTCATCTCGTCGTCCTTTGGATCAGCTCTAGCCACTGCCTCGCGCTGCTCCTTTCGCTCAAAGTACGCGGACGCTGCCCCCGATACACTGAAGCAGTTCCGTTGCAGCCACGTCAGCATCTCGTCCTCCGGCAACTCGATGCCCAAGTCCTTGAGTTGCTGCAGCTTCTTCTGCACGCGCTGCTGCTCTTTTTCCGCTGAACTGCCGACTCCATAGAGCAGCACAGACGGGGACTGCACCGTCTCCTCCGTCTTCTCCTCCTTCAGTTTCCCGTGGTCCGATACCACAGCAAGAGGCGACGCATTGGACTGCTCCGGCACCCAATCGCTCCAGCACATGGCGCACTGACGCGCACGCACCTCATTCTCAAACGTGCAGCGCGAGCAGCTCCAAGTAGTTGCTGGCATTCGACTAAAACCAGTGTAAAAGCTGGTTTTACACGGTTCCACCCACGACGAAACCATTGCGCAAACCACTGGTTCTGGTGTAAATCACACCATTTTTGGTGCACTCCACATTGGTTTTGGTGTACACCACACTGGTTTTGGTGCGCACCACTGATTGATTACCTAAACATGTCATAGACCAGTCAAAGCCAAAGCCACCGAGTCGCCGGGATGCTCGTGTCCTCCTTCACGCGCCGCGCACGTCGTTCAGTCGCGTCCGTGGGGCTCGCCGCCGCCCAGTGCTTCAGTACCGGACGTAGCAGCACCAGTAGCAGCAGTAGCCGAAAGTGCAGCTCCACTAGCGCTCGTGCACGGGCAGACGAGACTGAAGCGCACAGGAGCGGCAGTCGCCTTGGTGCCGGTCCGGGTCTTGGCGATTTTCTGCGCGAGTCGCAGCCGCTTATCACGCGCGAGCAGACGGTCCATGAGCCAAGTGAGATGAACTTTCCTGTGACGATGACGGGCACCGTCTGCTCGCTGGAAGAGCTGGAGGACAAGCAGCAGCAGCAGCGGCGGCGCTCCTTTATCATTGAGACATACGGCTGCCAAATGAACTCGGCCGATTCGGAAATCGTGCGCGCGATTCTGCTGCAAGATGGCTACATGCCAGCATCTACAGTCGAAGCTGCGGACATTGTGCTGATCAACACGTGCGCCGTGCGCGACAATGCTGAAGCCAAAGTCTGGAACCGGCTCGAGTCGCTGCGCCAATCGAAGGCCAAGCTCCTGCGCCTGAAGCAGAAGGACGTGCAGACTGTGGGCGTGCTGGGATGTATGGCTGAGAGACTCAAGACGAAGCTGCTGGAGTCGGACAAGATGGTCGACTTGGTGGTGGGTCCAGACGCTTACCGCGATCTACCCAACTTGCTGCGTGTAGTGCACGGCAGTGGGGAAGCAGCTGTGAATGTTCAGCTGTCGTTGGACGAGACGTACGCAGATATTGCACCTGTGCGTGCAGATCCTCACAGCCCATCGGCTTTCGTGTCGATCATGCGAGGATGCAACAACATGTGTTCGTACTGCATTGTGCCGTTCACGCGCGGACGCGAACGTAGCCGCGTCATGAGCTCCATTGTCGACGAGGTACGTGCGCTGAGTGATCAGGGCATTAAGGAGGTCGTGCTGCTTGGCCAGAATGTCAACTCGTACCACGACGAAAAGTCCGAAGGTGCTGCAGAAAGAGGACGTGGCTACGTATCATCTGCTGGGTTCAGCAATTTGTTTCGCTCCCGTGACGCACCTGGCTTCCGCTTCGCTGACCTGCTGGACGAAGTGTCACGTGTAGATTCGGAGATGCGACTTCGCTTTACGTCGCCGCACCCGAAGGATTTTCCGAATGAAGTGCTGGATCTCGTGAACGAACGCGCTAACATTTGCAAGCAGATCCACATGCCGGCCCAGAGCGGCAGCACCACGCTGCTGAAGCGCATGCGTCGTGGATACTCTCGTACGGCCTATCTAGAGCTTCTGGACAACATGCGAGCTCGTATCCCTGGTGTAGCTATTTCGTCGGACTTTATCGCTGGTTTCTGTGGTGAGAGTGAGGAAGAGCATGCCGACACAATTTCACTGATGCGTCAAGTATGCTACGACCAGGCTTTCATGTTTGCGTACTCGGTTCGTGCCCGTACGCACGCGGCACACCGTATGGAAGACGACGTGTCCCAAGAAGACAAGCTGCGGCGTCTGCGCGAGGTTATTGACACGTTCAGCGAGGTGGTCACGCGCAAGAATTATGTCGAGGACTCGGACCGTCTGCACGTCGTACTCGTGCAGGGCGCTAGCCGCCGGTCCACGGAAGATGATCCAAGGCTCACTGGCCTCACAGACACGGGCAAGCGCTGCGTGTTTCCCGACCAGCGAATGCCGGGCTCGTTGCGTGCTTTCACCAAGCAGGCAGACGAGTTGGCTTTCGACTTCCTTCCTCTACAGAGTGCCGTATCAGAGGGCACTCACGCTGCTCGTGGTGACTACGTGCTGGTGCGTGTCTGCGAAGCTGGACGTCACACGCTCCACGCTACTCCTGTGGCACGGACAACCCTGCATGAGGTTGCACAGCTTGTGCCGTCAGAGTTGCTTGGTGCCAGACCGCACTCGCTCGAAGCTCTACAGCTTTAGTCAGTCGACAGTTATGCACACAAAAAGCAGCCCATAGAACCCACATACGCCGTCAAGAAGAACTTATTGTCACTGTTGCCAGTCCTGCTACGATCTAGTAAGTCGCGACCGCACCCCGAGCAGCTTCTGCAGCTTGCTTCTGCATCTCCATCTGCAGGCTCGAGATCTGCACCGCAATAACAAGAGACACAAAGCAAAGCAAGTGAGAGGCAAAGCACCATACAAACTCTCCAGTGATACCCTGCCGTACAGTGGTCCGGATTCCGACGGCCTCTTTCTCCGTAGCCTCGATTTTCGTGCTCACTTTGCTCCTGTAAGCAGAAGAGAGAGAGAGAGAGAGACACACACACATCGCCAGTCGTCATTAGACTCGCTCCAGTACTTCAATTCCCATTGACCGTTTGCTCCTCCTTACAGCTCCTTGTTAATGAACTCGAGGCGCTTGGTGACGTTCGTCTTGGCCTCGTCCACGTCCTGCTTCAGCAGCACGGGGCCCACGAGCTTGAACACCTTGGCCCCGTCGTCCAGCAAGTCCAGCTCCTTCTTCACCATGTCGTTCTCGTTGGCTTGCTGAGCGAACGTCTGGCGCTTGGTTGCCAGCGCCTGCACCTCGTCCTGCAGCACACGGTAGCGCGCCATCTCGGCCTCCACCTGGTCCTTGAGCTCCGCCATTTAGCTTTGAGTTGTTGTTACGCCGATTGTAGACAAGGGGATGGATAAACGTAACCTGCTCGTGTGATGCTCGATGATGGTTTTACCGGGCTCGGCTCTAGTCGGCCTCATCCGCATCGATTTCGAAGCAGGATAAAACCCAGCTGGATCGGGTTTATTTAATCGCTTTTGATTTTGCCCATGAATTAACGCTGCGAGGTCTTTCTTGGATACGAAGGCTTAAAATGAGGTATGGAAGAGCTTATTTGCTGCTGGAAATTCTAAATAAAGCTGTAATCGAGCTGAGTTGTACTGATTTGGAGTAGTGGTCGAACGTTGAAATGATGGCAATCGAACTTGTTCTATGCAACCTATATGCTCTATGACGCGTGCTGTTTTGACAAAGATCTAGTAAAACGACGACGTCTTGATGTGAATGTCTCGTCAGTTGTGATCCCCGGCAATTATTATGCGTCGGTGCTGTGAGCAGAACTATTGCATTGAAAGTAATCTCATTGAGCCTTCGACCATATCTCCCAGAACTGAGGGCACATGACTCGCGAGTGAAGTGCCGTTTTGTTAATGTTTACCCCCGATGCACGCACATATCCCTAAGATGTTGTTGTTGCTTGACGCATCGCTCGAATTAATCGATGCTCGAAGAGATGAGTGTCGGAGATCTTGTAGTACTCGAGTAAACACATACTTTATGTGCACCGCACCCCTTCAGGAACAGCTTGGAAAAGGCAGTAGTCAAGAGGTATGGGGAAGCTGTGGTCGTTACAATAAAACCATCCGATGTCCACAAAATGCAGTGAAGACCAAGTCGCACCAGATGCGTGTGCACAATCAACTACATCAGCTGGTCAAAGAACCGCCAATGCAGTTGACCAGCTTCTCAGACAGTACTTTAGCGCCCATAGCCAATGCGAAGTAGTTGAGAATCTTCTTTCCAATAACGTATGTGAAATCTAGTCGTCTCCGCCATCAATATCACCGGGCTCGTAATCATCAAACTCGTCATCTTCGCAGATCGACGCATCGCTGCCTTCAGCTCCAGATACAGCGGCGGCGTCAGCTTCAGCAAGCAGCTCCTTCTGCATCCCAATAGCCGTTTTGTACATGCCAAGGTACATTTCATCGGAAACGTCTTCTTTCGTTGCAACAGGCTCAGACAGCTCATTCAGCTCTTTCTCAATCCATTGATATGCTCCAACAGTGTCGACCCAAACGCCAATATGCTGCGAAGCATATACGAATGCCTCTTCAACGGACCCTCGCATTGCATTCTTGATGTCTTCCACGTACTCCATCACTTGAAAAAACGTGTCGTGGTAAGCAATGACCACAGCGATGAACGGGTTCAATCGAAACGCCTTGCGAAACGCTGCTTGTACGACCTCTTCTGACGACCCTTCTTCTTCCAGTACCTCCCACGACACGTACTCGATGATCACTTGGCAATACGCTAGCACCGCCGAATCTAGATCCTCGTGCTGTTCGATCAAAGCCCGTGCCTCAAGACCACGACCTTCGTCCACCAAGGCACACGCGAGGCCCTCTCGTGAATGAAAAGTGTCCGTCTTGTCTAAGCTGATGCACAACTCGTAGTTCTGGATGCCGCGGTTATACATCCTAGCTTCGCAGCAGGCAGCAGCAAGCCGTTTCAGCAGACTGCACCGAAACCAAAACACAAGTCACAGTGAGCAGTGAGCAGTCACGTCCTCAATCAGAATCACAGTCCACACAGCACTGCAAAAACAGCATAGCGAATTGCACCTGCACCGTACCTGACGTATTCCTTCGTCTCCGCGTGCTCTGCCAGCTTCCCCTCCTGCAGCACCTCCTCATACAAATCGAAAGTCTCCACTGGTTGCGGGAACTCGTTGCCACACTCGTCCAATTCGCCAGCTGCAATCCTCGCCAATAAAGCCGCTGGTCGAGCCGCTCCTTTGAGTTTCCACTGCGACGGGGACGTTGGTCCCTTGCGCGCCGGAGCTTTTGGCGCCACCGGCTCTTTAGGGAACGCACGCAGCTCCTGGAGCTTGCGATCCACCGATCGCTGCAGCTGCACGACCCGCATCCGCCGCAGATTCTTCTGCTTCTTGTCCTTGGTAGACTCCATACTGTTCACACACGTCTGGGCGAACGCCTGCGCTCTGCAAGCGTTCGACGAGCGGCCGCTCTTCCGCTTCTTTGGCTTGCCACCCATACTTGGCTGCCCAATTTTGACACGCGTGATCAACTATGAAGGTCTCCGGCAGTCGTTTATTGACGCAGGTCGATGGTAGGATTTCTAACGGCATTTCTAAATTCCTCCACCACCAGCTTCTGTGTGGCGTTTGTTTGGACTTTGTGGCGAGCAGACAGGATGCTGGCGACGACGCGGCGACTTGCGGGCCACTGCAGAGCGCAACTCGTGGCGCCAGGAGCGCGTTCGCTCGCAGCTAAGAGCAAGGGCGGTGCTGCTGCAGTCGAAGAGGTCGTGGACCTGACCAAAGTCGTGCCTACGAACATCCTCAAGGACGGCACGCACCCGACTCTGCTGGCCAAAAGCGAGTACCCCGAGTGGCTCTTCACGCTGCTGGACCCGAAGCCCACCCTTGGTGAACTGGAGCGTACCAGCTTTGACAGTCTGGAGATGGAGGACCAGCACCGCTACCTCGTGCTGCTGAACCGTCGGGGGGTGAAGGCAACGAACGCTGACAAGGCCAAGAAGTAGTCAAGCAGATTCTGGATCACGGGTGCAAGGCAGCAATGGCCGCAAAGAGGACCACGGTTGCAGTTGGATGCCAACGAAGAGAATAGAGACGAGGATTTGTTTGTGTTGTAGTCGTGTCATTGATGGGTGCCGCAGAACCGGCACATGTCGATTCGATAGACGTTGCGGCTTCGTCTGTAGACGTCTTGCCGCTCGCATCTGTTCTAGCTGATGCTTGATGATCACACTGTTGTTGCGCTTCTTGGACACGACAATGAGATCGTCGTGTGCAAGTTGCCAGCAACAGCTTGCCTAGGTTGCGGTTGGGAATCCCCCAGGCACGAGCTGCAGCAGGCACAAAAGACGTCCGTCACCACACGATTAGCTATGAGAGATGGACAGACACAAAAACCTGCGAGTGCAATGGCCGCGTGCGTACCAGACAGACGTTGTTGCCGTTCAGCAGAACTTGGTCCAGTTTCACCTCACGTTTTCCCTCGGGAGTGAGTTCGCTGCAAACCCAAAAGAAGCAGTAAGCACGACGACAATCCCGATCGACTCAGTCTGCAACGACCACGCAGCGGCTGAGTCGACTCCAGCAACGTACTATTCAGTGACGTCGTCCAGCACCATGTCTAGAGGGAGCACACACACGCACACACGGACAGCATTCAGTCCTTCGATTCCAGCAACTCGGCAGTGCATCGCCACCTCCGCTTCACTTACTAACATAGTCATCGAATCCGCGAAGCGTTCCAAGGAATTCCTTGTCGCCCTTCATGACGATCCAGAGCTTGGAGCCAATGCACTTGTCAATGAGCTCTGCAAATCAAGACAAAAACACACACACACAGGGATAGAGAGAAGAAAACACCACAACAGCAGCGTCAGTATCGTCTTGTACACAGCACCTCACGGACGAGGGGAAGCGGATCGAGACGGCATCGCGGTCCTCACCAAGCGGCAAGATGCGGCCTTGGGACATGGTGATCAATCACGTGATGCCAAGTCCTTTCGTAATGTGACGCACACCACCTTTTGTACCCCACACCAATCTTCTGTACTCCACACCAATCCACAATGTTAACGACTGCCTCAGCCGAAATGGACCAAGACCCCGAGGAGCAGGAGCACTACAAGTCCGTGCTGCTGTCGTTCCGCGAGTACGAGACCTTCATGATGCGCGAGATCCACCGGCGGAAGAAGCACATGCAGTCCATGTCCATCGACATGCAGCGCCGCTTGCCGCAGTCCTCCACGCTTCGCAACCTCCACCACTTTGTCAATGCAGCGCACTATAACCAGGTCTTTTTCGAGCGCGTGGTCCAGGCCCAACTAGAGACGGGACCGGCCTGTGAAGTGCCTATGTTGACGCCCAAGACGCCGCTGCAGAGTCCCCCGCGTCACTTTTCCAAGCTCAAGAGCACGTTGCACCAGTTCGTACGCGACTGGTCTGATGAGGTGCCTTGGCCTTGGACTTGAATCAAATGTGAAGGAATTGTGGATGCAGTGGATACTACAGTCGTGACACTCGTGTTGTAAATGGATGGATGGATGTATGTGATGGCTGTTGCTGTAGGGCAAGAAAGAGCGTGAGATGTGCTACACCCCCATTATCAAGGAACTGCGCCGTGTCTTGCCAACGAATCCAGACAATCCGTAATGAACTGCCATGGTCCTGGCTGCGCTGTAGCAAAGATACGTCTTGCTGACGTCTTTGCTGCATTTATAGAACCGATCGACCTCGAGTGTTGCTGCCAGGGGCGGGATTGGGACGACTGGCACTGGAAATTGCTTCCAAGGGCTACGCGGCTCAAGGCAATGAGTTTTCGTACCAGATGCTGTTTGCAAGCAACTTTATTCTCAACTGGTAGGTTCGCGAGAGTGGTCACTTTTTTGCTGTTGCTGTGTCCTCCTAACGCTCAAGTGATGTCAATGCACGTGATCAGGGTGACGCAACCGCTGCAATTTGAGATTTACCCATGGATCCACAATCCATCGAACGCGCTGACGATTACGGACCTGTTGCGTCCCGTCGCAATTCCTGATGTGGCACCAGCAGAGCTTTTAGGTCTCAATTCTGGTGCTGCCGTGCCTATTGACTTCTCCATGTGTGCCGGCGAGTTCCTAGAGGCGTATGCGAACGACAAAGGTGGGCTACATATCTAGCGGTCGACCGCAACACGTGGAGACTGACGTGTAGCTCTCTCTTGTGCTGCAGAATGTTGGGACTGCATTGTGACGTGCTTTTTCATCGATGCGGCACCAAATGTGATCGAGTACATTGCAGCCTTCGACCGTTTGCTTAAGCCTGGTGGGTACTGGATCAACTTAGGCCCGCTGCTTTACCACTGGCAAGACAGTAGCGGTGGCGACGACGAGCGCTACGAGCAGTCCGTCGAGCTCTCGTACGAAGAGATCAAGCACGTCATGAGCACGTACAACTTTCGCATCCAGAAGGAGTCGAAGCGTGAGTGTTTGTACACGAACAACGTCAAAAGTATGATGAAAACGGTCTACAACTGCGTCTTCTTCACGGCCGTCAAGGAGACGACTGGACGCGTCTAGAGCAGCTCAATTGCTGAAGACAGACAAGAACGGGTTTGTGGCTGAAGAAACGTGTCGACTGCTCTTGGCGTATCGTGTCTTGTTCCTGTTTGCGTGTTGCTAATCGGTACTGGGACCGTGTCCCGCTTCCAGTCGTCAGCCAGGCGTTCCGCTCAACTGAGATCGTCGTCGTCGAAGTCGTCAGCCAGCGCCTTGATCGCCGCTGCATGCACGGGCACTTCGTCGCCCATGCGCTCCATCTCTGGGTTCCCCTCCACGTCCATTTCGCTCTCCATCTGGCGCTTGAGCCGCGCGTGCAGCTGCTTGGACTGCGACGACTCGACGGCCTTTTCCTTCGGCGGCGTCTCCATCTGTAGCGATGACGGGAATGCCAGCAAACAAGCTGCGGAAGTACGATGTGATGTGCGCCACATTGATGTTTGTCACGACGCGACCGACGCTATTTTAGGGGACGCGTTAAGTATCTCCAACTGAAAGGTTCGCTATGTCCAACTCTATCTCCAACTACACAAATGTATACGATAGGGAAGCCAGCTCTGGAGCTCACCCTCTGATACAATTAAATCAGTCCGGAAAACAAAATCAAGTTGCAAAACACTGTACGGCAGCAGTCACTGGAGAATTCGTATGACGCAATCAATGTCTGTATCAACCCGGTACAGTATACTCAAGCAGCGTGATCGGCTGTGTGTTTGGGCTTCAGGCATTTGCATTTGTAATCATATTCACCAATCACGTGCGTGCATCACAATAGTGACCTTGCCAAAGAGTGACTTTGGATATGCCTATGTATCTGTGGGTTGGGGACACGCTGGATCACACTTCATCATAGGTGAAAGTACACCTAGCCGCGTTATCTACAGACACACACACTGACAAACTCAGACACACTCCGCTCCAGATAATATCGCACACCTATATATTTCAGGGAAAAGTACCAAAATACTCCTGACAAATGCCGAAAAAACGAAAATACCCCTGTCCTTATTTCAATGACCAAAATGCCCCTGGCTATAGCCTAGACATCAAATGCTGGCAAATATCTTTTCCCAAGAGTAGTAAGATTCGTATGCGCTCACGACAAGTAGAGCTATAATGCTCAGGTTGTTTGCATCTGCCGCAATGCACGGGACGCTTTTCCAGGCCTCCTCCTCTCTACGCACCCGCTTTTTTTGTGGGCGTTCCGGTGGGCGCCGTGGTGGGAATGCACGTACTTTTCCTCGTCCTTATCTAACACGTCAGCCCAAATGCTTTCATCGCCAGGTGGGTGCACCGTTTCTGCGTACGTGCGCCGGTATGCAACTACCGAAAAGCATTCTTTTGCTTGCTGCCGCACATTCATTTGACACGATAGTAGCGCAGCTGCTGCGTGGTGACAAGTAAAACATGGTGATAAAGATGTGCTGTTGCTAAAAACGAATCATCAAGGATACGTTGCAGATTATATCTGAGCGAGCTCACCTTGTACCTGTCACCGCTTGCACGAGCACTCATGTTACCTAATATTGACAGTCATGTTCCGGTCCTCCGATATCACCTCGAATGAAAGATCAGCGGCACGTAGAACCCGGTAGTGCCTAGCACGCTCGATGGCAGTGCCGACCTTTTTTTCAGCTGAGGGAACAAGTAGCGAGGGCCATTCAGCTGCCTTCCGTCGCCGCTCATAGAATCAGACCATCAACTGCTGGCGGATACTTTTTCCACAGCGTAAGAACAATCCAAAAGGTTAGAATGTGTAGTTCAAATCCACTCAGCAGACTTCATGAGCAACCTACCGCTGCATCATCATTACGATTGGGAGCTCACGGGCTTCCAGAATCCAATTATTAAGCGATCCCGCGATATTGGAGGTCAGATGACCAAATCTTTCTCCCTCAAACGCGCTGTTGGCCCACAGATTTTTGACTATGCCCACAATCCACTCTTTAGCTTCAAATGAAACTTCTTCAATCTTGCTCATCTTAGCGTCCTATTTCACGGAATCTAATGCATAAGCAGCCTACCACAAGAGCTTCACCAATGAGAAATCTTTAACCTTCCAAAAGTTTTCGCTGAGATGCCGCATGCAAAAGCCATGGTATGCATTAGATTAAAAACCCGAAATCTGTCGATCAGCCCTTTCTGACGGTCGAAAAAAGAAAGGTCAGACGCTGCAGCTTTTTTGAGCATTTTCTCCAGAAGCGTCCGTAGCTCTGATAATAACCAAGCCAGTCCTCGTCGTTTTCAGCATCGACGACGGCCATTGTCAGTATAAAGAGAGCGCCGTCGCCGTCCACAGCCGTCGCCGCTAGAAGCGTCCCCAAATACTTTGATCTAAGGTGTGTTTCATCAAGGCCCAGTAGTGGACGGCATAAAGATCTAAATCCTGCAATGAACAATTGGTAGGCAAAAAAAAGGCGCCGAAAGTGATGCTCAGGCCCAGTCGTGTACACGGCCGAAGCGCTTCCTGTTGTAGCAGTCATTGCATCAGCAAAATATGAGAAATTTCAGCAAGCAAATAAAATGAACACGAGCCATCCACGGCCCTTACCTGAGTTTGTCAAACAAATCTGCCTGCAATACGCCGAAAGACTTTCATAAGCTTTTTTTCGTAGGAGCCATACATATCTTCCATACTCCTCTCTTTTCCTCTCCAAGCTTGTTTGTATGAAATCGTGACCCTATGCTCGAGACAAACGTCTTGAATGAATTCTTTTGGTCTGTTCTGGGGGTTGGTACAGACGCAGTTTAACTACAAGGACAAGTTCGTTCGACACAATGGTGCACGCGAATTTGCGGCAAATTCGCTCAAGGCATTTTGCGATGATCGAGGAATCGAGCAGCAAGTTACCGTTCCATATGCGCATCAGACCAACGGCACGACGGAACGGACAATTCGGACCATCGTGAAGATCGGGCGCAGCATGCTTCACTACGCCAAGCTGGACAAGTGTTTTTGGGTTGAAGCGACAATGACGGCGATCTCCATCAAGAATTGCCTACCATCGCCCAAGTGCCAAGATCAAACTCCGTTTGAGATCGTCAACGGATTTCGACCAAGTGTGAAGCACATGCGGGTTTTGGCTGCCGAACGGTTGTGCTGACCTTTAAGGAAAAGAGATCGAAATGGGATCCGAAGGCTCGTGAAGGACTATTCACGGGCTACGAAGAAGTGTCAAAGGCATATCGCGTTTACGACATTGAAGCGGATCAAGTGGTGATATCTCGCGATGTCACATTCGACGAATCAACGTTTGGTTTCTCACCGATGCTACCACAAGACATTGTTGATGACACTGCGCTGGATATCGAATCGATGGACATCAGCGATGAGCCTCACCCTATGCAGTTCAAGCAAACTGGAAAACGCAAGAGCCTTTCAAACAGCCGAGAACAAGTTCTACAACGGACACTTCCTGAGCGTCGTGGAACCGGGTTAGAAGAAGCAAGTGCCCCGGATGACTTATAATCGCACCAAGCGAAGCGACGGTCAAGCTCTCTAGCCAATATGGATGAAGAGCGAAAGGGCAGTGACGAAGATAACGAGGATGCTACACCATAAGTCTTTGGCGAGCGAGTGCCAACGCAGTAGAAGTTACTGACTTTTCTGAGCCGGCTACGTTTAAAGATGCTGTTGATGGACCGGATCAAGTGCATTGGCGTAAAGCAATCTGTGCCAAGTTGGACTCGATGAAACTTCGTGGCGTGTTTCGAGCAACCAAACTGACAGCTGGACAGCATACCTTGGTACCAAGTGGGTATTCAAAATCAAGCGGAAATCTGATGGATCCATCGAGAAATACAAGGCGCATCTCGTGGTAAAAGGGTTTAAGCAGAAGTACGGCATCGACTACACGGAGACATTCTCACCCGTGGTCAAGTACGTGACGCTGCGCATGGTAGTTGCAATCACGAAGTACTTTGACTGGACACTGGACTAACTGGACGTGGTGACAGCTTTCCTATACGGAGAGATGAAGGAAAAGGTGTCCTGCGCGATCTCAGAAGGGGTCGAAGTTGATGAAGACTTTGACTGCTTTGAACTGGTCAAGGCGATCTACGGACTAAAACAAGCATCGCGCGTATGGAACGAAACTTGACATGAGTTCATCTGCTCCATTGGATTTCAAGTATCCGATTTTGACCCGTGTCTTTATCTCAAGATTACAAGTGGCGAGTGCGTGCTTTTGCTGGTATACGTCAATGATGTGTTGGTGACTGGAAGCTCTACCTAACTGATTATGCGCACCAAGAGTGACTTGAAGGCGCGTTTCGAAATGACTGACAGCGGCAAGCGCGCATTCGTGTTGGGCATCGAGCTGGTGGACAACAACAACGGTAGCGTGACGATATGCCAGCGACGCTACGGGGAAGATGTTCTCAAGCGTTTTGGCATGAGCGACTGTAAAGCCGTCACCAGCCCAACAGACATCAGTTCTCGACTCATACCGAGCACCGCAGCAACCATAATCGACGCCCCGTTTCGTGAAGCAATAGGCAATTTAATGCACTTGATGATCGCGACACGACCGGACATTGCCTTTGCTGTGAGTTACGTTTCGCGCTTCATGGAAAACCCCCAAGTCGAGCATTGGATGGCGGTCAAGCGCATTTTGAGATCCGTACAAGGGACTAAGTCGCACGGCATCTGTTTCCAGTCTGATTACAAGGTATACTTCCGCGGCTACTCGGGTGCAGACTGGGCCGGCGACCATGCAGACCGCAAGTCGACTTCGGGATATGCGTTCATCCTGATGGGTGCTCTGGTGAGCCGGGGAAGCAAAAGCAGTCAAGTGTGTCGCTGTCAACAAGTGAAGCTGAGTACATTGCACTAAGTCTGGTGATTCAAGAAGGCAAGTGGGTACATCGATTGCTGTGCGAGATTCTGGATGCCGCAGAGGACAAGTCTGGACCCGAGCTCAAGATCAGGGAAGATAACCAATCGTGCATCAAGATGACGAAGAATCCTGTGAACCATGGTCGGGCCAAGCACATCGACATCAAGTACCATCACATTCGTGATGAAGTCAAGCGTGGTGATGTCAAGTTGGATTGCTGTGAGACTACGATTATGTTGGCGGACATCATGACCAAGGGACAGCCAGGACCGCGTCACAGGGACTTGACAGCGCTCGGCATACATGCGTGCTCGCATTGAGGGGGCGTATTGTGGGTTGACGGTTGAGGTACTGTTATCAGCTACCATGGAAACCGTAAACTTGTCCAAGTCGATCCCGCGTAATTACGGTGAGTTTTTACCAATGATTAGACGCATAGGATGATTGGATGACCTACACGATTTTTGATTCATGATTTATATGTGGACAACATATAAATCAGTGCAGGGATAAATCAGGTGGCTTTAACAAACCCCACAAATTCACTTCCAAATATTCCTTCTCCTACACAAGTCGCCTTCACTTCGCAGTGTAGACTTCTTTCAAGCTCTTCAAGCTTCGTTCTCTCGCCCAGTGCTCGTTACATCTTAACAATAATCAAAACATTAGCCAACATAGCGTTGCACGCTCCGGTGCAATCCTCGCCAATGGAAATTCGCCCTGATCCGAGGGTAGTACGGCCTACCCCTTGGTGCTCACCCTCTAGACTAGTATGGTAATGATGTAGGACGCCTTGTTGCAGCAACTCTGGCATTACCAGACGAATTGACTCTCCACGATCTTCGCTCTTTGATGCCACCCTGGGGCAGAAAAATAACAGTCCGCTTTGGTCGACTTCGCAGTCTGGTGAGATCAGTGCGTAAATCTTTGCGTCTCTAGCACTCAGCGTGGCTATATCCCCGATCAGATATGTCTTCAAGTCCGATATCCAACTTTCCTCATTTTGCGCCTGGTTTACACGTTCGATCCGGACTTGTTATACAACTTATTCTTGTAAAACTGTCTGGGGGCATCGTCTTCGCGTCGTTGATCGCGTGATCGCGGCTACCTGGACTGGGTGGATAGTCTGTTTTGGTATCAGTAGTTCATTTAACCGATTTAGGGTCACGATATCGTGTCGTTCTTGGTCTGATAATGCGACATTTCCTTTCTCCTGACGTAACGCCTCGCTCGCTAGTCGATCATCACTCTGGTTCCAGTCCCGTTTCACATGTAGCAATTCGTGTCTTGGCCACGATCGGAGTTTCTCCATTACCTTATGTTCTAGAAGATGTAGACCTGGTGCTTTACAGTCGATTTCACCTCGCATCTGTCTTATTACCAAGTTCGAATCACCACAAAAGACCACCCGACCTCTGATCTGATCGGAAAGTGACTCCAGACCCGGCAACAGCCCACCATGTTCAGCCTCGTTTACCTTCAATTCTTCCGCAAATTCTGAAGTAGCCACCACAATCGTCCATTCAGGCAACTTCCATATTATTGCGCTGTAAGCGCCACTTTTCTTCTTTACCCTAGCCGATCCATCGAAACTGACCACCAGGACACTTTCGTCTACTTCGACTGTGGGTAGTAACACAGTAATGTTTTTCCGTGGTTGTTTCCTTGAAACGATCGCGATCAGCATTTCATCTACATCCTTTCGAGGTGTTGTACTTGCAGCCAGCGTACTTAGCACTTCGTCTTCGCCTTTTTCGCACTGTCTGATATTTAACGTCCAGTTCGATACTAACATCGCCCATCTCCCAAGTCTTCCGTTAAGACCCGACGACTGCAATAGCCAAGCCAACGTCGAGTATCTCGTAAGCACCATCATCTCCCGCGAAACCAACATCGTATAACAAATGTCTAACATTCGGAGGAGGGCTAGCACTTCTTTCTCAACAATTCCGTAATTGACTTCGTTGGATTACAGCGTGCGACTAGAAAAAATGACAGGCCAATACGTGCCGTCATACTCTTGAAGCAATGCGGCTGATACCGCCCACTTACTGGCGTACACCACAATCACCGGTGCTCGATCTGGATCGAAATGTCTTAAGATCGGTGTTTCAGCAATTTTTCCCTTTAGCAAGTTAAAAGCCATCACCGCTTCCTCCCATCGACTTCCATTTCCGTAATCTAGATCGCCCCCTCTTTTCCGGTCCAGATCGCCCCCTGTTTTTTTGGTCCAGATCGTCGCCGGACTCATTTCGCGAATCGTGATCACGATCGGGTGCACTGTTGGATACTATTATCCGAACTTCTTTATCTTAGCTGATCTCGTGGAAATCTGCTTCCCGTAGCTCGTAGAGCACGGACGCATATATGACGAAGTCTTTTATAAAACGACTGTAGTAATTTAGGCTTCCCAAGAATGATTGCATTGATCGCAGAGTTCGAGGGAAGGGAATATTCGCAATTGAGTTTAAATCCTTTGGGTGGGCTTCCAACCCTTTGCGTGAAACTTAGGGCCTAGATAGTCGACCTCACAGCGCCCCCAGAAATTCTTTGCCACACTGATCGATAGGTTCCATCGGTCACACACCTCTAGCAATCGTTCCACCTTTTCATACAGGGATGACCAGGATTCAGTAGGTATTAAGATGTCATCGATATAGGACCTTCGGCCTAAAACTGATGGTCTTGGATCTGTGTCCGGCACTCCGTCAGTGAACACATCGGTTGGTGTCGACGATGTTACTGCATGCGAGTTAGGTGTTGGGTCGATCTTGAGATAACCACATAGTGCATTGTCGATAAGTCGTTGGTAATTCTGGGAAGCGTTTTTTAGCCCAAAAGGCATTCGCAACCATTCAAACAAACCCGACGGCGTGATGAATGCAAAAATAGCTCTTGATCGTTCCGTCATTTCCACTACCCAAAAACCACTTGCCATATCTAACGAACAATACCACTTCGCTTTATCCAAGTCTTTTTATAATTTGCTGATTAGTGGCATGGGATATAAAATCGATCTTGTCAACTGATTCACTCTCATGTAATCGATGCACAGCCGTATGTCCTCCCCGTTTTTCTTGATAATCACCACGATCAGAGAAGCTCTAGGTGAAATGGAAGGTTGGATGATCTTGGCTGATCATAATCCCTTGATCAGGTCCGCCAATTTTTCTCGATATTTAAATGCCACCGGCCGTACTCTTTGCGCGATCGGTTTGGCACCTCCAAAATCAATGTCACATACTGCTCCACGCGCAGCTGGAGGCAAGGCGTTCCCTTTGCCTATGAGTAAGTGGCGATTCTTCCAAATCAGTTGCCTCAGCTTCTCCTGATCTTCTGTCAGCGGGACACCTGGATCGCCAACCTGGATGTCATCTATAGCCACTTCCTTTGTGGGCGCAATTATGTCTGGCAAGAGTGCCATATGTTGGTCCACATCTTCCGCTAATAAATCACCACTATCGTGGCGATAAGCCACCGATTTTGTTTGAGTCTCGTCTGTCACGTCTACCTCGCGAGTCAGTACTGTAGCATTCTTTATCATTTGATCTGACAATTCGAGCTCTTGATCGTCTCCGACCGGGTGATCATCGCCGATCGCGATCTCTCGTGCTTGTCTGATTACATCGTCCGAGTGTTTCTGTGACCGATAGCCCTCTTCTGCCTTCACTACGGTATTGACCACGGCAGATGCCTCTAGTGATCGCTGCTCGTCGCTATTGGGGCGATCCTCTTTCACGATCTGGCTTTCTGTGACATCCGTCATCTTTGCTTGTGGAGCTAGCAGATCTGATCGGCTTCCCTCAATATTCCTTCCTTGTTTATCTCTGTGGGTCATAATCTTCTTTGGGATAGGGTGTGACGGGTGATTTACTAAGTGTCTCGAATACTCGATCGGGTGTTCCTTGGTTGATTCCGTTGTAGCTCTAAACGCCAGAGTCTGTCATTCATTATACCGGTGTGATCCAACTGATACATAGCCCGGCGATCGGGGTATCATGTCCGTTATCATCCACCACCCTAAAGGGATATCGTGATTGAGAATCACCTGCTGATCGACGATGTGTCAGTATCAATTACTTGATCTGGCCCGGTCCAGTATTCACCGTGGGCACCCATTTTTTATCTCGTCTCACCCATAGTTTGGACTTAGAGAAACCTGCTCCAATCCTCATCTCCATGGATTCTCCAGCAGGAATTACTACATGTTGGTCTGGGATAACGATCGGTTGCATATTTACCCCATACGGAGGCCTGCGCCCTGCCAAGTGAATTTTCACCTCATCTGGCAAACAAAGCGTACCGTCCGCCAGATCTAACCGTATTCCCGCTGGCACCATAAAGTCCATACCTAAAATCGCTTCTTGGCCCACTTGATCGCCCACCCAAACGTCAAAGTAAAACACTAGCGTTCCGTTTCATGTGATCTTGATTTTGGTGCGTCCTTCCGTCATGTAGGCGTTCTCCCCGATTCCCACACATCCCTGTCTCTGGCTGTCATCAATTACACATTCCACCTTACGAGAAAAGGTGGCGTCTATGATTGAGACTTCGGCTCCAGAATCATATAGCATGGTGGCCTTCTCGTTATTGATTTTACCCACCGTTTTACCCTGTTTAAACCATTTTCCTGGCGTGTGATATTTCCAATATCCTCTCGATTCCCCCGGCGCTGGATCGAGTTCCATCTTAACGGGAGATCGTGAATGTTCATCCACCTTTTTTACACTTGAGATATTACACAAACGATGGTGTTCCAAATCACATGTATTAGCGGTCGGGTCGATCCGATTGTTACTCCCTTGATCTATCCTGCCCTTCTCCACAAACGCATATATGCGTAGACTAGAACGCTCGGCTCGTGCCAGATTTCATCCTGGCGAGCGTCCTAGTTTAACACCTCTTCTGCCTTTGTCGGTAGTAGTCCTGCGTGCTTGATTTGGACGTACCACTTGCGGATCAGGTTGTAGAACTCTTCCATGGGACGTTGGCCGCTCTGGTGAACTTCCCCACAAGCGGAACACACATGTAGACATTTTTCCGAGGGGTGCCCTCTTCGGCCACACTTCTGACAGGTCAATCTTTTCCAGCATCCGCGATCGTCATGTCTTTTCGAGCCGCAGTGTGTACAGGCTTTCGCAACCCCGCCCCGATCGCGATCATCATCTCGGTCTGTCTTTCGCGATCTGTCTCGTTGACCCCCTGGGTCTGCAGCCTGATCAGTGATAGTCGTCACACAAAGCTTTTGGCGAAAATCTTCTTCTTCTCCATCGTCCGAACTCGAGCCTGAGTCGCTTTCCTCAATTTCTGCACGAATGGCCTTCACCATCCGTGGTGTCTTCGAATATACATGGGCTGGCGTCGTAGCCGATCGCGATCGGTACATGTTCGAGTCAGTCGGATCCTTATTCTGTCGAAACCTCATACGCTGATAAGCGCGTAGAGTTTCTTCCATCGTGTTAGCATCATTTACTCGCAATAGGGTCAGTTGCAGGCTCCAGACGACTAGAAATGTCTGGTATTAGGAGACCTGCTCACAGGACCTGCCCGAAATTGGTACAGCCAGTTGAGCCGATCGACCCGCGATGATTGGAAGTCGTTGTCGGAAGGCTTCATGGTCCGATATGGGGGATATGGAATGTCATCAGGAAGACAATACTACCACGCGCGGAAGAGACCGAATAAAATCTTGTTGGAATACTTGGACCGGATGAATGTAGCAGAAATGCAAGCAAAAGTGGCGTTCAGAGATGGAATGCAAGTAAGCTGACGTGAGCATGCAAAACACTTCATTGACACTTTGGATGATCGCGTAGAAAGGCAGTCTTCATCTTGTTGAACCAACCTCTAGTACGTTCTTCGTCTTGATCACGTCCTGAAATTCTGTCAGATCGGCCATCGCCGACAATCTAATCCTCTGTGCGCTGAAACCGCCCGTAGGGGCGGTTCCTGCAGTTGCCACTTGTGGTCGTCTTCGATGATATGTTCCCCTGCGATCTGACTCATGTTCTCCCGGTCGATCGCGGTATGAGTCTACGGACTCCATTTCGACGTCTGGGACGATTGGGTAGTTAGCTCCTTGTTCTTCGCGATCGCGCATGAATTTGTCCATGGTAGTTTTGTAATATGTTTTCAACTGGCTTGGCTCCACCGTGTCTGCATTCTGTGAAGCCGGAATTTGAGTAGATCGTATTCCACTGTTAGCCGGGTCGAGCTTGTTGTTAAGCGTTGCTGCCCCTGTCGGTCCCAGCGACATCCGCTGCATCCCAAACGACTCGTTTGAGTACATATCTGATTCTACCGAGGCATAATTACCAAAGTTGATTAGACGCGCAGGATGATGAGACGCTTCACATGATTTACATGTGCACCACATATAAATCATGTAGTAAGTAGTAAGCCCCGATAATCAATCACTTTCCAATCTTCCATCTACCCCCAAGTGTCTTCTCCGGTCTTCCGAGTGGACTTCCAGCATCCCTCCCAGTTTCGGTCGTCAAGCTTCACTCCTTCCAACACGATGTCGCGTTCGTCACCATTGGGCAGAACCACTTGTTCCATGATGGTTCCCACACCCTTGATCGGTGCCTTGCTGCCATCTGCCACTGATAGTTCGCCTTCCTCTCGCTCATTCAGTCTTGCAAACTTGGCCTTGTCGTCGCAGATGTGATGCGTCGCACCGCTGTTGACTGCCCACATCCCTGGCATATTCTTGCCCGTCGAAAGTCTAGCCTCCAGCGAAACCGCTAACGCAACTCGATCGTAGTTGTCATCGTAGTTGCTGTTGGTTCGCCACTGAACGTTGTTGGCTCCGCGTCCACGAGCATTATTGCCGCCGCGTCGAGCTCCACCTTGGTTTTCGTCCTTCTGCTTGGTCCAGCACCGCTCCGCCGTGTGCCCAATTTTCCGCAGTATGTACACTGGCGAGGTTCACGCTCGGCACTGAACGCCTTCGCCGCGTCTTCAGTCTTCACCGATGTCGTCTTGTCACCTTGCCTCTTGATGTGCTCATTCGTGAACACTCTCACGACGTCTCGCGATCGCAGTTCCGCGCTGCTCATCTCCAAGTTGAGAACGACGTTCTCGTAGCTCTTGGGGAGGCTGCGCAACAAGCAGATCGCCATGCCCTCGTCGTCCATCTTGGCGCCGATGCTGCTGAGCTTCGCGCTGATGTTGAGGACTTCGTTGCAATGATGCATCACATTGCCGCCTTCCGCCATCTCCATGCTGAACAGCTGGCGCTTCAAGTAGATGCGTCCAGCCTTCTGCGACCCGCCGTATAGCGTCTTCAAACGCGCCCACGCGACCCACGCCTCTTCACAGTCATCGACGATGTGATGGTAGTCCGCGCTCATGTGCAGCAGCATCAAGCCGAACGCAATGTTGTTCGTCTTGACGTAGTCGTCACTGGCGCGAGGATCGGTGAAGGTGGGGGTGGTCTCCCGGTTCACCACGTGCCACGTCGACTTGGTCAGAAACACGCCACGCATGTAGCGGCTCCATGTCGCGTAGTTGTCGCCGTCGAACTTGTCAATAAATATCTTGGTGGTGGCATCATGAGCAGAGGACATCGTGCTTGGGCTCATAACCTGTTGAAAGGTGTGAAGCTTGACGACCGAAACTGGGAGGGATGCTGGGAGTCCACTCGGAAGACCGGAGAAGACACTTGGGGGTAGATGGAAGATTGGAAAGTGATTGATTCATAGGTCTTAACTCTTCCTACCCTAGACTGCATCCAATCACATGGTGCATCTAATCAACCTGATTTCACACGTCTAATCATCCTACCCGTCCAATCATCTCTGATGTAATTACCGACGTAAAAACTATCTCGTAAAAGCTACGCTTAAGTTCGGATTGTATCGGTAACCCTCAATACGCCCCCTCAATCCGAACTCGCACGAATGCCGAGAGCCGTCGTCAAGTCCTTGTGGCGAGGTCCAGAAAGTCCTTTGGTCATGATGTCCGCCATCATCACGGAAGTCTCGCAATACTCGAGCTGCACTTCACCGCGCTTGATCTCATCACGGATGTGATGGTACTTGATGTCGATATGCTTGGCTCGACCATGGTTCGCCGGGTTCTTCGTCATCTTGATACACGACTGGTTGTCTTCACGGATGACGAGGGCCGGTCCTGGTTCGTTTGCGGCCGCCAAAATCTCGCATAGCAGGCGATGCACCCACTTGCCTTCCTGTATGGCCAGACTTAGCGCGATGTATTCCGCTTCACTTGTCGGCAGTGACACGCTTGACTGCTTCTTCATCCCCAACTCACAGGAGCACCCATCAGCATGAAAGTGTAACCCGAAGTTGACTTGCGATCAGCATGGTCGCCGGCCCAGTCCGCGTCCGAGTAGCCACGAAAGTCGATCTTGTCGCTTGGCTGGAAGCGGAGTCCGTGCGAATTGGTCCCTTGCAAGTAACGAAAGATGCGCTTCACCGCCGTCCAATGTTCTTGCTGCGGATTCTCCATGAAGCGCGAGACGTACCCCACAGCATACGCAATGTCCGGGCGCGTCGCAGTCGTCAAGTGCATCAAAGCTCCCACAGCTTCACGAAACGGAACGTCGATCTTGGCCGCTTCGCTGCTTGCGACAAACCGAGTGCTCAAGTCGACCGGACTTGCTGTGGCCTTGCACTCATCCATGCCGAAGCGCTTGAGGACGTCGTTGACATACCGTCGCTGGCACATCGTCACGCTGCCATCCGATTCGTCCACCAGTTTGATGCCCAGTACAAAAGTACACTTGCCACTGTCGGTCATCTCGAAACGCGTCTTGAGGTCGGCCTTCGTCTGCGCAATCAACTCGAGCGAGCTGCCGGTGACCAACACGTCATCCACGTAGACCAGCACGAGCACACAGTGACCGTCGATAACCTTGATGTAGAGACATGGGTCGAACGCCGACACTTCGAAACCGATAAAGTATACGAACTCGTCGAAAGTCTCGTTCCACACACGTGAAGCTTGCTTGAGACCGTAGATCGCCTTCACCAACTCAAGACAGTCGAAGTCGCCATCCATCTCGACGCCTTCTGGTATCACGCAGTACACCTTCTCCTCCATCACTCCGTAGAGAAAGGCTGTAACCACATCGAGTTGGTCCAGTGGCCAGTCGAAATACTTGGTGATCGCGATCACCATACGCAGTGTCACGTACTTGACCACGGGCGAGAACGTCTCTGTGTAGTCGATACCGTACTTCTGCTTGAAGCCCTTGGCAACGAGACGCGCCTTGTATTTCTTTACCGATCCATCCGCTTTGCGCTTGATCTTGAACACCCACTTGGTGCCGATCGCGCCTTGGCCTCTTGGCAGTTTTGCCGCACGGAAAACTCCACGAAGATGCATCGACTTGAGTTCCGCCTTCACAGCATTTCGCCAGTGAGATTGATCAGGACCATTGATCGCGTATTGAAAAGTCACGGGTTCTGCTAGGTCCGTTGCTTCCACTGCGTTTGCACTTGCACGCCAAAATGTTGGGGGCGTCGAGTCGTCATCTTGATCGTAGACGCTCGCATCTTTTTCGTCATCAGACATCGTTTCTGGAGCACTTGATCGTCGTTTCTGGTGACGGTTGGAGACGTGTTCCGGCGCACTTGCTTGTTCCAACCCAGTTCGAGGGCGAGCTGAACGTGACATGCCGGGTCTTGCTTCACTCTTGCGCTTGCCAGTCTGCTTGTAGACGGTTTGACGCACGTCGTCCTCGTTGATCGCCAGGAGGTCGAGGTCCAACTCCGCATCTTCATCATCGTCACTTGGTCGGTCCATCGAAAAGTAAAAAGTCGATTCGTCGAAGGTGATGTCACGACTGATCACCACTTGGCCCGCCTCAATGTCGTACACTCGATAGGCTTTTGACGTTTCTTCGTAGCCCATGAACATCCCTTCACGAGCCTTCGGGTCCCACTTCAATCGCTTCTCCCTTGGTGTCAGGATAAACGCCCAACATTTAAACACGCGCATGTGCTTGACACTTGGTTTCGACTTGTACACGATCTCGAACTGAGTCTTGTGGTCAATCTTGGGTGAAGGCAGGCGGTTCTTGATGTAGATCGCCGTCATTGCCGCTTCAGCCCAGAAACACTTCTCCAGCTTTGCACGATGCAACAAGCTGCGTCCGATCGTGACGATGGTCCTTATCGCGCGTTCTGCGGTGCCGTTGGTCTGGTGTGCATACGGCACCGTGACCTGTTGTTCGATACCATGATCTTCGTAGAAGGTCTTGATGGAGTTGGTCGCAAACTCATGCGCTCCATCGTGCCGAACAAACTTGATCTTCGTGCCGAACTGAGTTTGAATCTTGATAATTTGGTTCTTGATACAGTCTTCACTCTCAGACTTGGACCGCAGACAGAAGCCCTTCATGCAACCGCTGGCTTCGTCAACCACAAGCAGTAAGTATCTGCTGCCGCCGATCGATACTTGTTCCATTGGCCCGCAGATGTCGAATTGTAGCAATTCAAACACACCATATTGGCGTTTGTCACGGTTGGTTGGGAATGGTTTTTGGACCATCTTTTCTTGCTGGCAACCGCGACACACACTTGGACCAGTCGAGTTGAGAGGTGCCTTGGCGTCCTTGATCATGCCGGTGGTCACCATCTTGCGCAGAACTTCGAGGGGTGCATGACCCATGCGCGCATGCAAGTCGATAGTCCCATTGCGTGTTGCTGCATTTGCCGATCGTTGAGGAGTCCGCAGCCAGTAAAGTCCATCGACGAGATCCGCTGTTGCCACGACTTGTGTGGAATTCTTGCGCTTCACTTGCATCTTTGTTGTAACTTGAGGCGAGGCGAAGAGAAAACGAAGCGGAGAGACCGGAGAGAACGAAGCAGAGAACACTTGCTCACTTGAGGGAGGATTCGAAAGTGATTGATTTATAGGTCTTAACTTCTGCCTACCCTAGACTGCATCCAATCACATGGTGCATCTAATCAACCTGATTTACACGCGTCCAATCATCCTACGCGTCTAATCATCTCTGAGGTAATTACCGATGTAAAAACTATCTCGTAAGAACTACGCGCTAGGTTCGGATTGTACCGGTAACCCTCAATAATCTTGGACCCATCGAACACGACTTGGAACCTGCCACCCTTGTTGATCTGTGGCACCGAAAGCAGATTCTTACTCATACTTGGTACGAACAGTGCGTCCTTGATCTCGATGTCGCGTTCGTCACCATTGGGCAGAACCACCCGTTCCATGATGGTTCCCACACCCTTGATCGCAGCCTTGCTGCCATCAGACACTGATAGTTCGCCTTCCTCTCGCTCATTCAGGCTTGCAAACTTGGCCTTGTCGTCGCAGATGTGATGCGTCGCACCGCTGTTGACTGCCCACATCCCTGGCATATTCTTGCCCGTCGAAAGTCTAGCCTCCAGCGAAACCGCTAACGCAACTCGATCGTAGTTGTCATCGTAGTTGCTGTTGGTTCGCCACTGAACGTTGTTGGTTCCGCTTCCACGAGCATTGTTGCCGCCGCGTCGAGCTCCACCTTGGTTTTCGTCCTTCTGCTTGGTCCAGCACCGCTCCGCCGTGTGTCCAATTTTCCGCAGTATGTACACTGGCGAGGTTCACGCTCGGCACTGAACGCCTTCGCCGCGTCTTCAGTCTTCACCGATGTCGTCTTGTCACCTTGCCTCTTGATGTGCTCATTAGTGATCACGCTCACGACGTCTCGCGATCGCAGTTCCGCGCTGCTCATCTCCAAGTTGAGAACGACGTTCTCGTAGCTCTTGGGGAGGCTGCGCAACAAAGCAGATCGCCACGTCCTCGTCCTCCATCTTGGCGCCGATGCTGCTGAGCTTCGCGCTGATGTTGAGGACTTCGTTGCAATGATGCATCACATTGCCGCCTTCCGCCATCTCCATGCTGAACAGCTGGCGCTTCAAGTAGATGCGTCCAGCCTTCTGCGATCCGCCGTACAGCGTCTTCAAACGCGCCCACGCGACCCACGCCTCTTCACAGTCATCGACGATGTGATGGTAGTCTGCGTCCATGTGCAGCAACATCAGTCCGAAAGCGATGTTGTTGGCCTTGACGTAGTCGTTCATGGCGCGATCGTCCGCGTAGGTCGGTGACGTCTCCCGGTTCACCACGTGCCACGTCGACTTGGTCAGAAACACGCCACGCATGTAGCGGCTCCATGTCGCGTAGTTGTCGCCGTCGAACTTGTCAATGGATATCTTGGTGGTGGCATCATGAGCGGAGGACATCGTGCTTGGGCTCATAACCTGCTGAAAGGTGTGAAGCTTGACGACCGAAACTGGGAGGGATGCTGGGAGTCCACTCGGAAGACCGGAGAAGACACTTGGGGGTAGATGGAAGATTGGAAAGTGATTGATTCATAGGTCTTAACTCTTCCTACCCTAGACTGCATCCAATCACATGGTGCATCTAATCAACCTGATTTACACACGTCCAATCATCCTACGCGTCCAATCATCTCTGATGTAATTACCGATGTTAAAAACTATCCCGTAAAAACTACGCTTAAGTTCGGATTGTATCGGTAACCCTCAATAAAGTCGTACTCAAGAATACATTTGAGATTGTCTACAACTCGAAGCCAAGCGTCAAGCACATGCAAGCATTCGGGTGCCAGACGTACATACTGACGCGAAAGGAGAATCGGCCTTAAGTGGGATCCAAAGGCTCGCACTGGCATATTCGTGGGCTACGAAGAAGTGTCGAAGGCGTATCGAGTTTATGACATTGAGGCGGGGCAGGTGGTTATCAGTCAGAATGTCAACTTTGACGAGTCCACCTTTGGACTTCCGCCGCCGATCACTGATGAAGATGCCGATGACCTGGACTTCGAGTTGCTTGACCTCAATGATGAAGAGCCGCGTCAGATGGAGTACAAGCAAACAGGCAAGCGCAAAAACCGCCCCAGTGATGAAGATACAGCAGCTCCACGGCCACGTGCAGTGCGTCAACGACCTGGACTAGAAGATTCAACCGCGCCGGAAAACAACTCGTCACGCCAAGAAGAAGACGAAGAAAGGAAGGATTCTGATGAATCAACTCCGCCTGTGTTTTGGCATGCGAGTGCGAACATCGTTGAAACAGCAGCAGACTTATCGGAGCCCTACACATTTGAGGTGGCAGTGAGCGGCCCTGACCAAGTGCACTGGCAAATGCCATTTATGCGGAACTCGAGTCAATGCGCCTTCGCAGTGTGTTTCGTGCAGCCAATCTGCCCAACGAACAATGCGCCATTGGCACAAATTGAGTGTTTAAGATCAAGCGCAAGGCGGTTGGGTAAATCGAGAAGTACAAGGCACGACTTGTGGCCAAGGGTTTCCGCCAAAAGTACGGCATCGACTACACGGAGACATTTTCATCCGTGGTAAAGTATGTGACGCTGCGAATGGTCATCGCAATTACCAAGCACTTTGTATGGCCCATCGACCAGCTTGATGTGATGACGGCTTTCCTGCATGTCGTCATGAAGGAACAAGTGTTCTGCGTGATTCCTGAAAGCGTTGAACTTGATAGTACGTTCGATTGCCTGGAATTGATTAAGTCAATTGTGGCCTCAAGCAAGCGTCGCGAGTGTGGAACGAGACGTTCGACGAGTTTGTGTGCTCCATTGGAATTCAAGTATCGGAGTTCTACCCATGTCTCGAGATCAAGACTTCAGTTCGGCCATTGTGTATTTGTACTGGTCTACGTGGACGACGTCTTGGTGACTGGAAGCTCGCTCGAGCTAATTACACGAACCAAGAACGACCTGGAGATACGTTTCGAGATGACAGACAGCGGCAAATGTGCATTTGTTCTTGGGATCGAGCTTTTTGATGGTGATGATGGCAGTGTGAATATGTGTCAGCGCCGTTATGTATGAAGATGATATCCTCAAGCGCTTTGGCATGGAGGAGTGCAAGGCTGTGGCGAGTCCTGTGGATGTCAGCTCTCGACTGATGTCAAGCAACGCTACGAGCAAGATCGATGTTCCATTCATCGAAGCTGTTCGTGCTTTGATGCATCTGACGACTGCAACACGACCTGACATCGCCTATGCTGTGAGCTTTGTGTCGCGCTTCATGAAGAATCCACAAGAAGAACACTGGGTTGCGGTCAAGCGCATCTTTCGCTACCTACAAGGCACTAAGATGCATGGAATTTGCTACAGCCACGTGCAAGGATCGACTTTCGTGGTTCTTCGGACGCAGACTGGGCCGGCGACCTCACTGATCGCAAGTCAACGTCTGGCTACGTTTTTATGCTATTGGGTGCTCCAGTGAGTTGGGGTAGCAAGAAGCATCCAAGTGTGTTACTGTCTACAAGTGAAGCGGAGTACATTGCGCTAAGTCTGGCGGTTCAAGAAGGCAAGTGGATCCACCGCTTACTATGCGAGATCATGGCGGCTGCTAACGAGGACGGACCCGAGCTCATGATCCGCGAAGACAACCAGTCCTGCTTCAAAACGACCAAGAATCCGGTCAACCACGGCCGCGCTAAACACATTGATATCCAGTACCATCACATTCGCGATGAAGTCAAGCGCGGTGAAGTACAGCTTGAAACTGCGAGACAACGGTGATGTTGGCAGACAGTATGACGACGGGACTTCACGGACCGCGCCACAAGGACTTAACGGCGCCACTAGGCATCTTTTCGCATTCGGATTGAGGAGGGCGTGTTGACGGTCATCGGTTTTCTACCAGTCATGCTAATCGTGACCAGTTCAATCTGAACCGCCTGCTTGTAGACGGTCATCGGTTTCCTACCAGTATTGGTAACCGTGACCGGTCCAATCCGAACCGCCTGTTCAGCTTATTTTTTCACAGTAGTTCTTACGGTAATTATTACCATAGTTGATTAGACGCGTAGGATGATGAGACGCTTCACATGATTTACATGTGCACCACATACTAATCATGTAGTAAGTAGTAAGCCCCGATAATCAATCACTTTCCAATCTTCCATCTACCCCCCCAAGTGTCTTCTCCGGTCTTCCGAGTGGACTCCCAGCATCGCTCCCAGTTTCGGTCGTCAAGCTTCACACCTTTCAACAGGTTATGAGCCCAAGCACGATGTCCTCTGCTCATGATGCCACCACCAAGATATCCATTGACAAGTTCGACGGCGACAACTACGCGACATGGAGCCGCTACATGCGTGGCGTGTTTCTGACCAAGTCGACGTGGCACGTGGTGAACCGGGAGACCACCCCCACCTTCACCGATCCTCGCGCCAGTGACGACTACGTCAAGACGAACAACATTGCGTTCGGCTTGATGCTGCTGCACATGAGCGCGGACTACCATCACATCGTCGATGACTGTGAAGAGGCGTGGGTCGCGTGGGCGCGTTTGAAGACGCTATACGGCGGGTCGCAGAAGGCTGGACGCATCTACTTGAAGCGCCAGCTGTTCAGCATGGAGATGTCGGAAGGCGGCAATGTGATGCATCATTGCAACGAAGTCCTCAACATCAGCGCGAATCTCAGCAGCATCGGCGCCAAGATGGAGGACGAGGACGTGGCGATCTGCTTGTTGAGCAGCCTCCCCAAGAGCTACGAGAACGTCGTTCTCAACTTGGAGATGAGCAGCGCGGAACTGCGATCGCGAGACGTCGTGAGCGTGATCACTAATGAGCACATCAAGAGGCAAGGTGACAAGACGACATCGGTGAAGACTGAAGACGCGGCGAAGGCGTTCAGTGCCGAGCGTGAACCTCGCCAGTGTACATACTGCGGAAAATTGGACACACGGCGGAGCGGTGCTGGACCAAGCAGAAGGACGAAAACCAAGGTGGAGCTCGACGCGGCGGCAATAATGCTCGTGGACGCGGAGCCAACAACGTTCAGTGGCGAACCAACAGCAACTACGACGACAACTACGATCGAGTTGCGTTCGCGGTTTCGCTGGAGGCTAGACTTTCGACGGGCAAGAATATGCCAGGAATGTGGGCAGTCAACAGCGGTGCGACGCATCACATCTGCGACAACAAGGCCAAGTTTGCAAGCCTGAATGAGCGAGAGGAAGGCGAACTATCAGTGTCTGATGGCAGCAAGGCTGCGATCAAGGGTGTGGGAACCATCATGGAACGGGTGGTTCTGCCCAATGGTGACGAACGCGACATCGAGATCAAGGACGCACTGTTCGTACCAAGTATGAGTAAGAATCTGCTTTCGGTGCCACAGATCAACAAGGGTGGCAGGTTCCAAGTCGTGTTCGATGGGTCCAAGATTATTGAGGGTTACCGGTACAATCCGAACCTAGCGCGTAGTTCTTACGAGATAGTTTTTACATCGGTAATTATCTCAGAGATGATTAGACGCGTAGGATGATTGGACGCGTGTAAATCAGGTTGATTAGATGCACCATGTGATTGGATGCAGTCTAGGTTAGGCAGAAGTTAAGACCTATAAATCAATCACTTTCGAATCCTCCCTCAAGTGAGCAAGTGTTCTCTGCTTCGTTCTCTCCGGTCTCTCCGCTTCGTTTTCTCTTCGCCTCGCGCTCAAGTTACAACAGGTTATGAGCCCAAGCGCCATGTCGTCCAACAACACCTCGGCCAGTGTCTCCATCGATAAGTTCGATGGGGACAACTACTCAACCTGGTGTCGCTACATGCGCGGCGTGTTTCTGACGAAGTCAGTCTGGTACGTCGTGAACCGCGAAACGTCTCCAACCTTCACCGACACGCGAGCTTCCGACGAGTACGTCAAGGCGAGCAACATCGCGTTCGGGTTGATGTTGCTCCACATGGACGCCGACTACCACCACGTGGTCGACAACTGTGAAGAAGCATGGACAGCGTGGTCGCGGTTGAAGATGCTCTATGGTGGGTCGCAGAAGGCGGGACGCATCTACCTCAAGCGCCAGCTGTTCAGCATCAAGATGGCGGAAGGTGCCAACGTCTTGCACCATTGCAACGAAGTCTTGAACATCGGCGCCAAGCTCAGCAGCATCGGTGCCAAGATGGAAGACGAAGACATTGCGATCTGCTTGCTGCTCAGTCTCCCGAAGAGTTTCGAGAACGTGGTTCTGAACTTGGAGATGAGCAATGCAGAGCTGCGCACGCAAGATGTGGTCAAGGTGCTGACTAACGAGCACATCAAGCGACAAGGCGAGAAGATGACAACGGCAACGACAACGGTGAAGACTGAAGATGCGACAAAGGCATTCAGTACCGAGCGCAAGCCCTACCAATGCACATACTGCGGCAAGGTGGGGCACACGGCAGAGCGTTGCTGGACGAAGCAAAAGGATGAAAGTCGAGGAGCCCAACGCGGCGGCAATGGTCGTGGACGCGGGGCAAACAATGTCCAGTGGCGACATTATGATGAAGGCAACAGCTACGATCGAGTGGCGTTTGCAGTTTCGTTCGAATGCGGAGTTTCGACGAACAAGAATGGACCAGGAATGTGGGCCGTTGACAGTGGGGCAACACATCACATCTGCCACGACAAGTTCAAGTTTGCAAGCTTGGTCGAAGGCCATGATGGCGAGATCCTGGTGGCTGATGGCAACAAGGCGGCCATCAAAGGTGTGGGGACCATCGTGGAAAAGGTGATTCTGCCAAACGGGGAAGAGAGCGAGATCGAGATCAAGAACGCGCTCTATGTGCCCAGCATGAGCAAAAATCTGCTCTCGGTGCCGCAGATTAACAAGCACGGCAACTTCCAAGTGGTGTTTGACGGGGATACGATGTACGTCGCTCGCAAGGATTCCAATCAAGTGGTGGCAGCTGCGGATCTTGTAGACGGACTCTACTGGCTTCGCACGACGCAGCGATCGGCCAATGCGACATCACTCAGCAACGCTGTTGATCTACATGCGCGAATGGGCCATGCTCCAGTCGACGTGCTTCGCAGGATGGTGACAAGCCACATGATCAAGGACGCTCACATCCCTTCCAAGCCGAATGGATCAAGTGTGTGTCGAGGATGCCAAGAAGGGAAGATGGTCCAAAAACCATTCCCGAGCAACCGTGACAAGCGCACCTACAACACCTTCGAGATGCTCCACTTCGACATCTGCGGACCCATGGAAGAAAAATCTCTGGGTGGCAGCAAGTATCTGCTGCTGATCGTGGATGAAGCCAGCGGATGCATGAAGGGTTTTTGTCTGCATTCCAAGTCAGAGAGCGAAGAGTGCATCAAGAAGTACATCACGATGATACAGACGCAGTTCAACAAGAAGGTCAAATTTGTGCGACACGATGGAGCCCGCGAGTTTGCGACGAACTCGCTTCAAGATTTCTACGAAGTCGAAGGCATCGAGCAACAAACCACGGTGCCATACGCACATCAAGCCAATGGAACTGCTGAACGCGCGATTCGAACTATCGTCACCATCGGTCGTAGCATGCTCCATCATGCCAAGTTGGACAAGTGCTTCTGGGCTGAAGCGGCAATGACGGCCGTCTATGTGAAGAACCGTTTGCCGTCACCCAAGATTCCACACAAGACACCGTTCGAGATTGTCTACAATTCTAAGCCAAGTGTCAAGCACATGCGCGTTTTTGGGTGCCAAGCATACATCTTGACCCCGAAGGAGAAACGACTCAAGTGGGATCCCAAGGCCCGGGCTGGATTGTTTTTGGGCTACGAAGAAGTGTCCAAGGCGTATCGAGTTTACGACATCGAAGCGGGGCAGGTGATGATAAGTCGCGATGTCAACTTCGATGAGTCGGCCTTTGGAATGTCGATGCTGATTTCCGATGACGATGTTGATGGCCTGGACTTCGAATCGATCGATCTTGATGATGAAGAACCGCGTCCGAGACACTTCAAACAAACAGAAAAGCGCAAGGCCCAACCCAGTCACGACAATGACGACGCAAGCATGCCCCGAGCAGTGCGCGAACGACCCGGATTGGAAGAGTCAAGTGCGCCGGATGACCTCTCTTCACGTCGAGCCAACGAAGATGAAGAAAGGAAGTCGGAGGAACAACATGACACACCGACTTCCTCCGCGTTTTGGCATGCGAGTGCAAACGCCGTCGAAGCAGCGGTCGATTTTTCGGAGCCGTCGACATTTGAAGAAGCAGTGTCTGGCCCGGACCAAGTACACTGGCGCAAGGCAATTGATGCGGAGCTCGATTCGATGAAGCTTCGCGGTGTCTTTCGTGCGGCCAAGTTACCCAACGGACAAAGCGCCATTGGCACAAAGTGGGTCTTCAAGATCAAGCGCAAGGCGGATGGGTCGATCGAGAAATACAAGGCACGACTTGTGGCCAAGGGTTTTCGCCAAAAGTATGGCATCGACTACACGGAGACGTTCTCGCCCGTGGTCAAGTATGTGACGCTGCGAATGGTCATCGCCATTACCAAGCACTTTGGATGGCCCCTCGACCAGCTCGATGTGGTGACTGCGTTCCTGTATGGAGTGATGAAGGAGAAGGTGTTCTGCGCTGTTCCAGAAGGCGTCAAGATGGAAGGTGATTTCGACTGTCTCGAGCTGATCAAGGCGATCTACGGTCTCAAGCAAGCCTCGCGTGTTTGGAACGAGACCTTCGACGAGTTCATACGCTCGATTGGTTTTCAAGCGTCGGGATTCGATCCATGTCTCTACATCATGACTTCGGAAGGCCATTGTGTTTTTGTGCTGGTCTACGTGGACGATGTCTTGGTGACTGGAAGCTCGCTCGAGATGATTGCGCGCACCAAGAACGACCTCAAGACACGCTTCGAGATGACGGACAGCGGCAAGTGTGCCTTTGTTCTTGGGATCGAGTTATTGGACGGTGAAGATGGCAGCGTGACTATGTGTCAGCGCCGTTATGTCGACGATATCCTCAAGCGCTTTGGAATGGATGAGTGCAAGGCTGTGGCAAGTCCGGTGGACGTCAGCTCTCGACTGGTTCCGAGCAACTCTGCAAGCAAGGTGGATGTCCCATTCCGTGAAGCAGTGGGTGCTTTGATGCATCTGACGACTGCAACGCGACCGGACATCGCCTATGCTGTAAGCTTTGTGTCACGGTTCATGGAGAAACCCCAAGAAGAACACTGGGCTGCAGTAAAGCGCATCTTCCGCTACCTACAAGGCACCAAGATGCATGGAATCTACTACAAGCCAAGTGCGAAGATCGACTTTCGTGGCTATTCAGATGCAGACTGGGCCGGTGACCTTGCTGATCGCAAATCGACGTCCGGCTACGTCTTCATGCTATTGGGTGCTCCGGTGAGTTGGGGCAGCAAGAAACAGCCAAGTGTGTCACTGTCTACAAGCGAAGCGGAGTACATCGCGCTCAGCCTAGCGATCCAAGAAGGCAAGTGGATCAATCGCTTGCTGTGCGAGATCATGGCGGCTGCAAACGAAGAAGGACCCGAGCTCGTCATCCGTGAAGACAATCAATCTTGCATCAAGATGACGAAGAATCCTGCCAGCCATGGCCGTGCCAAGCGCATTGCATCAAGTACCATCACATCCGTGACGAGGTCAAGTGCGGCGAAGTCAAGCTTGAATACTGCGAGACGACGTTGATGTTGGCGGACATCATGACGAAGGGACTTCACGGACCGCGTCACAAGGAGCTGACAGAGGCGCTTGGCATCCGCACGTGTTCGTATTGAGGGGGGGTATTGAGGGTAACCGGTACAATCCGAACCTAGCGCGTAGTTCTTACGAGATAGTTTTTACATCGGTAATTACCTCAGAGATGATTAGACGCGTAGGATGATTGGACGCGTGTAAATCAGGTTGATTAGATGCACCATGTGATTGGATGCAGTCTAGGGTAGGCAGAAGTTAAGACCTATAAATCAATCACTTTCGAATCCTCCCTCAAGTGAGCAAGTGTTCTCTGCTTCGTTCTCTCCGGTCTCTCCGCTTCGTTTTCTCTTCGCCTCGCGCTCAAGTTACAACAAAGATGCAAGTGAAGCGCAAGAATTCCACACAAGTCGTGGCAACAGCGGATCTCGTCGATGGACTTTACTGGCTGCGGACTCCTCAACGATCGGCAAATGCAGCAACACGCAATGGGACTATCGACTTGCATGCGCGCATGGGTCATGCACCCCTCGAAGTTCTGCGCAAGATGGTGACCACCGGCATGATCAAGGACGCCAAGGCACCTCTCAACTCGACTGGTCCAAGTGTGTGTCGCGGTTGCCAGCAAGGAAAGATGGTTCAAAAACCATTCCCAACCAACCGTGACAAACGCCAATATGGTGTGTTTGAATTGCTACAATTCGACATCTGCGGGCCAATGGAACAAGTATCGATCGGCGCAGCAGATACTTACTGCTTGTGGTTGACGAAGCCAGCGGTTGCATGAAGGGCTTCTGTCTGCGGTCCAAGTCTGAGAGTGAAGACTGTATCAAGAACCAAATTATCAAGATTCAAACTCAGTTCGGCACGAAGATCAAGTTTGTTCGGCACGATGGAGCGCATGAGTTTGCGACCAACTCCATCAAGACCTTCTACGAAGATCATGGTATCGAACAACAGGTCACGGTGCCGTATGCACACCAGACCAACGGCACCGCAGAACGCGCGATAAGGACCATCGTCACGATCGGACGCAGCTTGTTGCATCGTGCAAAGCTGGAGAAGTGTTTCTGGGCTGAAGCGGCAATGACGGCGATCTACATCAAGAACCGCCTGCCTTCACCCAAGATTGACCACAAGACTCCGTTCGAGATCGTGTACAAGTCGAAACCAAGTGTCAAGCACATGCGCGTGTTTAAATGTTGGGCGTTTATCCTGACACCAAGGGAGAAGCGATTGAAGTGGGACCCGAAGGCTCGTGAAGGGATGTTCATGGGCTACGAAGAAACGTCAAAAGCTTATCGAGTGTACTACATTGAGGCGGGCCAAGTGGTGATCAGTCGTGACATCACCTTCGACGAATCGACTTTTTACTTTTCGATGGACCGACCAAGTGACGATGATGAAGATGCGGAGTTGGACCTCGACCTCCTGGCGATCAACGAGGACGACGTGCGTCAAACCGTCTACAAGCAGACTGGCAAGCGCAAGAGTGAAGCAAGACCCGGCATGTCACGTTCAGCTCGCCCTCGAACTGGGTTGGAACAAGCAAGTGCGCCGGAACACGTCTCCAACCGTCACCAGAAACGACGATCAAGTGCTCCAGAAACGATGTCTGATGACGAAAAAGATGCGAGCGTCTACGATCAAGATGACGACTCGACGCCCCCAACATTTTGGCGTGCAAGTGCAAACGCAGTGGAAGCAACGGATCTAGCAGAACCCGTGACTTTTCAAGACGCGATCAATGGTCCTGATCAATCTCACTGGCGAAATGCTGTGAAGGCGGAACTCAAGTCGATGCATCTTCGTGGAGTTTTCCGTGCGGCAAAACTGCCAAGAGGCCAAGGCGCGATCGGCACCAAGTGGGTGTTCAAGATCAAGCGCAAAGCGGATGGATCGGTCAAGAAATACAAGGCGCGTCTCGTTGCCAAGGGCTTCAAGCAGAAGTACGGTATCGACTACACAGAGACGTTCTCGCCCGTGGTCAAGTACGTGACACTGCGTATGGTGATCGCGATCACCAAGTATTTCGACTGGCCACTGGACCAACTCGATGTGGTGACAGCCTTTCTCTACGGAGTGATGGAGGAGAAGGTGTACTGCGTGATACCAGAAGGCGTCGAGATGGATGGCGACTTCGACTGTCTTGAGTTGGTGAAGGCGATCTACGGTCTCAAGCAAGCTTCACGTGTGTGGAACGAGACTTTCGACGAGTTCGTATACTTTATCGGTTTCGAAGTGTCGGCGTTCGACCCATGTCTCTACATCAAGGTTATCGACGGTCACTGTGTGCTCGTGCTGGTCTACGTGGATGACGTGTTGGTCACCGGCAGCTCGCTCGAGTTGATTGCGCAGACAAAGGCCGACCTCAAGACGCGTTTCGAGATGACCGACAGTGGCAAGTGTACTTTTGTACTGGGCATCAAACTGGTGGACGAATCGGATGGCAGCGTGACGATGTGCCAGCGACGGTATGTCAACGACATCCTCAAGCGCTTCGGCATGGATGAGTGCAAGGCCACAGCAAGTCCGGTCGACTTGAGCACTCGGTTTGTCGCAAGCAGCGAAGCGGCCAAGATCGACGTTCCGTTTCGTGAAGCTGTGGGAGCTTTGATGCACTTGACGACTGCGACGCGCCCGGACATTGCGTATGCTGTGGGGTACGTCTCGCGCTTCATGGAGAATCCGCAGCAAGAACATTGGACGGCGGTGAAACGCATCTTTCGTTACTTGCAAGGGACCAATTCGCACGGACTCCGCTTCCAGCCAAGCGACAAGATCGACTTTCGTGGCTACTCGGACGCGGACTGGGCCAGAGACCACGCTGATCGCAAGTCGACTTCGGGTTACACTTTCATGCTGATGGGTGCTCCTGTGAGTTGGGGAAGCGAGAAGCAGTCAAGTGTGTCGCTGTCGACGAGTGAAGCGGAATACATCGCACTGAGTCTGGCCATCCAGGAAGGCAAGTGGGTGCATCGCCTGCTATGCGAGATTTTGGCGGCCGCAAACGAACCAGGACCGGCCCTCGTCATCCGTGAAGACAACCAGTCGTGCATCAAGATGACGAAGAATCCGGCGAATCATAGCCGCGCCAAGCACATCGACATCAAGTACCATCACATCCGTGATGAGGTCAAGCGCGGTGAAGTGCAGCTCGAGTATTGCGAGACTTCCGTGATGATGGCGGACATCATGACCAAGGGACTTTCGGGACCTCGCCACAAGGACTTGACGACGGCTCTCGGCATTCGTGCGAGTTCGGATTGAGGGGGCGTGTTGACGATCATCGGTTTCTACCAGTATTGGTAACCGTGATCGGTCCAATCCGAACCGCCTGTTCAGCTTAGTATTTACAACGTAGTTCTTACGGTAATTACCATAGTTGATTAGACGCGTAGGATGATGAGACGCTTCACATGATTTATATGTGCACCACACATAAATCATGTAGTAAGTAGTAAGCCCCGATAATCAATCACTTTCCAATCTTCCATCTACCCCCAAGTGTCTCCTCCGGTCTTCCGAGTGGACTCCTAGCATCACTCCCAGTTTCGGTCGTCAAGCTTTGCACCTATCAACATAAGTATGAGCTGCTTCATCTGGACATCTGTGGGCCCATGGAAAACGATTCGCTCGGTGGTAGCAGATATCTGCTACTGATCGTAGACGAAGCCAGTGGAGTGGATGCACGAAGGGCTTTTGTTTACGAGTGAAGTCCGAGAGTGAAGACTACATCCGGAAGTACATCACTGTGGTTCAGACGCAGTTCAGTAAGAAGGTCAAGTTTGTGCGACACGACGGAGCTTGCGAGCTCGCAACCAACTCGATTCAGATGTTTTACGAAGACGAAGGCATTGAACAGCAGACAACGGTGACATATGCGCATCAAACCAACGGAACAGCAGAGCGTGCCATTAGGACTATCCTTACGATCGGCCGCAGCATGCTTCACCATGCCAAACTGGACAAGTGTTCCTGGGCTGAAGCAGCGATGACGTCCATCTACGTCAAGAATCGACTGCCGTCACCTAAATTCGTACTCAAGAATACGTTTGAGATCTTCTACAACTCGAAGCCAAGCGTCAAGCACATGCGAGCATTCGGGCGCCAGACGTACATACTGACGCCAAAGGAGAATCGGCTTAAGTGGGATCCAGAGGCTCGCACTGGCATATTCGTAGGCTACGAAGAAGTGTCGAAGGCGTATCGAGTTTATGACATCGAGGCGGGGCAATAGTTATCAGTCGCGATGTCAACTTCGACGAGTTGTAACTTGAGCGCGAGGCGAAGAGAAAACGAAGCGGAGAGACCGGAGAGACCGAAGCAGAGAACACTTGCTCACTTAAGGGAGGATTCGAAAGTGATTGATTTATAGGTCTTAACTTCTGCCTAACCTAGACTGCATCCAATCACATGGTGCATCTAATCAACCTGATTTACACGCGTCCAATCATCCTACGCGTCTAATCATCTCTGAGGTAATTACCGATGTAAAAACTATCTCGTAAGAACTACGCGCTAGGTTCGGATTGTACCCGTAACCCTCAATAAACTCGTCGAAGGTCTCGTTCCAAACACGCGAGGCTTGCTTGAGACCGTAGATCGCCTTGATCAGCTCGAGACAGTCGAAATCACCTTCCATCTTGACGCCTTCCGGAACAGCGCAGAACACCTTCTCCTTCATCACTCCATACAGGAACGCAGTCACCACATCGAGCTGGTCGAGGGGCCATCCAAAGTGCTTGGTAATGGCGATGATCATTCGCAGCGTCACATACTTGACCACGGGCGAGAACGTCTCCGTGTAGTCGATGCCATACTTTTGGCGAAAACCCTTGGCCACAAGTCGTGCCTTGTATTTCTCGATCGACCCATCCGCCTTGCGCTTGATCTTGAAGACCCACTTTGTGCCAATGGCGCTTTGTTCGTTGGGTAACTTGGCCGCACGAAAGACACCGCGAAGCTTCATCGAATCGAGCTCCGCATCAATTGCCTTGCGCCAGTGTACTTGGTCCGGGCCAGACACTGCTTCTTCAAATGTCGACGGCTCCGAAAAATCGACCGCTGCTTCGACGGCGTTTGCACTCGCATGCCAAAACGCGGAGGAAGTCGGTGTGTCATGTTGTTCCTCCGACTTCCTTTCTTCATCTTCGTTGGCTCGACGTGAAGAGATGTCATCCGGCGCACTTGACTCTTCCAATCCGGGTCGTTGGCGCACTGCTCGGGGCATGCTTGCGTCGTCATTGTCGTGACTGGGTTGGGCCTTGCGCTTTTCTGTTTGTTTGAAGTGTCTCGGACGCGGTTCTTCATCATCAAGATCGATCGATTCGAAGTCCAGGCCATCAACATCGTCATCGGAAATCAGCATCGACATTCCAAAGGCCGACTCATCGAAGTTGACATCGCGACTTACCATCACCTGCCCCGCTTCGATGTCGTAAACTCGATACGCCTTGGACACTTCTTCGTAGCCCAAAAACAATCCAGCCCGGGCCTTGGGATCCCACTTGAGTCGTTTCTCCTTCGGGGTCAAGATGTATGCTTGGCACCCAAAAACGCGCATGTGCTTGACACTTGGCTTAGAATTGTAGACAATCTCGAAAGGTGTCTTGTGTGGAATCTTGGGTGACGGCAAACGGTTCTTCACATAGACGGCCGTCATTGCCGCTTCAGCCCAGAAGCACTTGTCCAACTTGGCATGATGGAGCATGCTACGACCGATGGTGACGATAGTTCGAATCGCGCGTTCAGCAGTTCCATTGGCTTGATGTGCGTATGGCACCGTGGTTTGTTGCTCGATGCCTTCGACTTCGTAGAAATCTTGAAGCGAGTTCGTCGCAAACTCGCGGGCTCCATCGTGTCGCACAAATTTGACCTTCTTGTTGAACTGCGTCTGTATCATCGTGATGTACTTCTTGATGCACTCTTCGCTCTCTGACTTGGAATGCAGACAAAAACCCTTCATGCATCCGCTGGCTTCATCCACGATCAGCAGCAGATACTTGCTGCCACCCAGAGATTTTTTCTTCCATGGGTCCGCAGATGTCGAAGTGGAGCATCTCGAAGGTGTTGTAGGTGCGCTTGTCACGGTTGCTCGGGAATGGTTTTTGGACCATCTTCCCTTCTTGGCATCCTCGACACACACTTGATCCATTCGGCTTGGAAGGGATGTGAGCGTCCTTGATCATGTGGCTTGTCACCATCCTGCGAAGCACGTCGACTGGAGCATGGCCCATTCGCGCATGTAGATCAACAGCGTTGCTGAGTGATGTCGCATTGGCCGATCGCTGCGTCGTGCGAAGCCAGTAGAGTCCGTCTACAAGATCCGCAGCTGCCACCACTTGATTGGAATCCTTGCGAGCGACGTACATCGTATCCCCGTCAAACACCACTTGGAAGTTGCCGTGCTTGTTAATCTGCGGCACCGAGAGCAGATTTTTGCTCATGCTGGGCACATAGAGCGCGTTCTTGATCTCGATCTCGCGCTCTTCCCCGTTTGGCAGAATCACCTTTTCCACGATGGTCCCCACACCTTTGATGGCCGCCTTGTTGCCATCAGCCACCAGGATCTCGCCATCATGGCCTTCGACCAAGCTTGCAAACTTGAACTTGTCGTGGCAGATGTGATGTGTTGCCCCGCTGTCAACGGCCCACATTCCTGGTCCATTCTTGTTCGTCGAAACTCCGCATTCGAACGAAACTGCAAACGCCACTCGATCGTAGCTGTTGCCTTCATCATAATGTCGCCACTGGACATTGTTTGCCCCGCGTCCACGACCATTGCCGCCGCGTTGGGCTCCTCGACTTTCATCCTTTTGCTTCGTCCAGCAACGCTCTGCCGTGTGCCCCACCTTGCCGCAGTATGTGCATTGGTAGGGCTTGCGCTCGGTACTGAATGCCTTTGTCGCATCTTCAGTCTTCACCGTTGTCGTTGCCGTTGTCATCTTCTCGCCTTGTCGCTTGATGTGCTCGTTAGTCAGCACCTTGACCACATCTTGCGTGCGCAGCTCTGCATTGCTCATCTCCAAGTTCAGAACCACGTTCTCGAAACTCTTCGGGAGACTGAGCAGCAAGCAGATCGCAATGTCTTCGTCTTCCATCTTGGCACCGATGCTGCTGAGCTTGGCGCCGATGTTCAAGACTTCGTTGCAATGGTGCAAGACGTTGGCACCTTCCGCCATCTTGATGCTGAACAGCTGGCGCTTGAGGTAGATGCGTCCCGCCTTCTGCGACCCACCATAGAGCATCTTCAACCGCGACCACGCTGTCCATGCTTCTTCACAGTTGTCGACCACGTGGTGGTAGTCGGCGTCCATGTGGAGCAACATCAACCCGAACGCGATGTTGCTCGCCTTGACGTACTCGTCGGAAGCTCGCGTGTCGGTGAAGGTTGGAGACGTTTCGCGGTTCACGACGTACCAGACTGACTTCGTCAGAAACACGCCGCGCATGTAGCGACACCAGGTTGAGTAGTTGTCCCCATCGAACTTATCGATGGAGACACTGGCCGAGGTGTTGTTGGACGACATGGCGCTTGGGCTCATAACCTGTTGTAACTTGAGCGCGAGGCGAAGAGAAAACGAAGCGGAGAGACCGGAGAGAACGAAGCAGAGAACACTTGCTCACTTGAGGGAGGATTCGAAAGTGATTGATTTATAGGTCTTAACTTCTGCCTAACCTAGACTGCATCCAATCACATGGTGCATCTAATCAACCTGATTTACACGCGTCCAATCATCCTACGCGTCTAATCATCTCTGAGATAATTACCGATGTAAAAACTATCTCGTAAGAACTACGCGCTAGGTTCGGATTGTACCGGTAACCCTAAATAAGTCCACCTTTGGACTTCCGCCGCCGATCACTGATGAAGACGCCGATGACCTGGACTTCGAGTTGCTTGACCTCAATGATGAAGAGCCGCGTCAGGTGGAGTACAAGCAAACAGGCAAGCGCAAGAACCGCCCCAGTGATGAAGATACAGCAGCTCCACGGCCACGTGCAGTGCATCAACGACCTGAACTAGAAGCGTCAACCGCGCCGGAAAACAACTCGTCACGCCAAGAAGAAGACGAAGAAAGGAAGGATTCTGATGAATCAACTCCGCCTGTGTTTTGGCATGCGAGTGCGAATGTCGTTGAAACAGAAGCAGACTTATCGGAGCCCTACACATTTGAGGTGGCAGTGAGCGGTCCTGACCAAGTGCACTGGCAAATGCCATTTATGCGGAACTCGAGTCAATGCGCCTTCGCAGTGTGTTTCGTGCAGCCAATCTGCCCAACGAACAATGCGCCATTGGCACAAAGTGAGTGTTTAAGATCAAGCGCAAGGCGGTTGGGTAGATCGAGAAGTACAAGGCACGACTTGTGGCCAAGGGTTTCCGCCAAAAACATGGCATCGACTACACGGAGACATTTTCATCCGTGTTCAAGTATGTGACGCTGCGAATGGAGATTGCAATATCCAAGCCCTTTGGATGGCCCATCGACCAGCTTGATGTGATGACGGCTTTCCTGCATGGCGTCATGAAGGAACAAGTGTTCTGCGTGATTCCTGAAGGCGTCGAACTTTACAGTACGTTCGACTGCCTGGAATTGGTGAAGTCAATTTACGGCCTCAAGCAAGCGTCGCGAGTGTGGAACGAGACGTTCGACGAGTATGTGTGCTCCATCGGATTTCAAGTATCGGACTTTCGACCCATGTCTCTACATCAAGACTTCGGACGGCCATTGCGTGTTTATACTGGTCTACGTGGACGACGTCTTGATGACTGGAAGCTCGCTCGAGCTGATTGCACAAACCAAGAACGACCTGAAGACGCGGTTCGAGATGACGGACAGCGGCAAGTGTGCGTTTGCTCTTGGGATCGAGCTTTTGGGCGGTGAAGATGGCAGTGTGACACTATGTCAGCGTCGGTATGTCGATGATATCCTCAAGCGCTTTGGCATGGATGATTGCAAGGCAGTCGCAAGTCCAGTCGACATGAGCTCTCGACTTGTTTCAAGTGATGCAACTACCAAGGTCGATGCTCCTTTTCGCAAAGCTGTTGGTGCGTTGATGCACCTGACCACTGCAACGCGTCCGGACATTGCGTTTGCTGTGGGCTATGTGTTGCGGTTCATGGAAAATCCCCAAGAAGAACACTGGGTTGCAGTTAAGCGTATCTTTCGCTACCTACAAGGCACCAAGACGCATGGAATTTGCTACAAGCCAAGTGCAAGGATCGACTTCCGTGGACATTCGGATGCGGATTGGGCTGGTGATCTTACCGACCGCAAGTCAACATCGGGGTACACGTTCATGCTACTCGGTGCGCCAGTCAGTTGGGGCAGCAAGAAGCAGCCAAGTGTTTCTTTGTCCACGACTGAAGCTGAATACATCGCACTCAGCTTGGCGATTCAAGAGGGCAAGTGGATTCATCGTCTGCTTTGTGAGATCGTGATGGCTGCCAATGAAGAAGGACCGGAACTCATGATCCATGAAGACAATCAGTCGTGTATCAAGATGACGAAGAACCCAGTCAACCACGGCCGTGCCAAGCACATTGATATCAAGTACCATCACATCCGTGATGAGGTCAAGCGCGGTGAAGTGAAGCTCAAGTACTGTGAAACTGCGGTGATGTTAGCGGACATCATGACGAAGGGACTTCATGGACCACGCCACAAGGAGATGACGACGGCTCTCGGGATTCGTGAGCATTCGGATTGAGGGGGCGTTGTTGACGGTCATCGGTTTTCTACCAGTATTGGTAACCGTGACCGATCCAATCCGAACCGCCTGTTCAGCTTAGTATTTACGGCGTAGTTCTTACGGTAATTACCATTGTTGATTAGACGCGTAGGATGATGAGACGCTTCACATGATTTATATGTGCACCACATATAAATCATGTAGTAAGTAGTAAGCCCCGATAATCAATCACTTTCCAATCTTCCATCTACCCCCAAGTGTCTTCTCCGGTCTTCCGAGTGGACTCCTAGCATCACTCCCAGTTTCGGTCGTCAAGCTTTGCACCTATCAACATAAGTATGAGCTGCTTCATCTGGACATCTGTGGGCCCATGGAAAACGATTCGCTCGGTGGTAGCAGATATCTGCTACTGATCGTAGACGAAGCCAGTGGAGTGGATGCACGAAGGGCTTTTGTTTACGAGTGAAGTCCGAGAGTGAAGACTACATCCGGAAGTACATCACTGTGGTTCAGACGCAGTTCAGTAAGAAGGTCAAGTTTGTGCGACACGACGGAGCTTGCGAGCTCGCAACCAACTCGATTCAGATGTTTTACGAAGACCAAGGTATTGAGCAGCAGACCACGGTCCCGTACGCGCATCAAACCAACGGAACAGCAGAGCGTGCCATTAGGACTATCCTTACGATCGGCCGCACCATGCTTCACCATGCCAAATTGGACAAGTGTTCCTGGGCTGAAGCAGCGATGACGTCCATCTACGTCAAGAATCGACTGCCGTCACCTAAATTCGTACTCAAGAATACGTTTGAGATCTTCTACAACTCGAAGCCAAGTGTCAAGCACATGCGAGCATTCGGGCGCCAGACGTACATACTGACGCCAAAGGAGAATCGGCTTAAGTGGGATCCAGAGGCTCGCACTGGCATATTCGTAGGCTACGAAGAAGTGTCGAAGGCGTATCGAGCTTACGACATCGAGACAGGACAAGTAGTTATCAGTCGCGATGTCACCTTTGACGAGTTGTAACTTGAGCGCGAGGCGAAGAGAAAACGAAGCGGAGAGACCGGAGAGAACGAAGCAGAGAACACTTGCTCACTTAAGGGAGGATTCGAAAGTGATTGATTTATAGGTCTTAACTTCTGCCTAACCTAGACTGCATCCAATCACATGGTGCATCTAATCAACCTGATTTACACGCGTCCAATCATCCTACGCGTCTAATCATCTCTGAGGTAATTACCGATGTAAAAACTATCTCGTAAGAACTACGCGCTAGGTTCGGATTGTACCCGTAACCCTCAATAAACTCGTCGAAGGTCTCGTTCCAAACACGCGAGGCTTGCTTGAGACCGTAGATCGCCTTGATCAGCTCGAGACAGTCGAAATCACCTTCCATCTTGACGCCTTCCGGAACAGCGCAGAACACCTTCTCCTTCATCACTCCATACAGGAACGCAGTCACCACATCGAGCTGGTCGAGGGGCCATCCAAAGTGCTTGGTAATGGCGATGACCATTCGCAGCGTCACATACTTGACCACGGGCGAGAACGTCTCCGTGTAGTCGATGCCATACTTTTGGCGAAAACCCTTGGCCACAAGTCGTGCCTTGTATTTCTCGATCGACCCATCCGCCTTGCGCTTGATCTTGAAGACCCACTTTGTGCCAATGGCGCTTTGTTCGTTGGGTAACTTGGCCGCACGAAAGACACCGCGAAGCTTCATCGAATCGAGCTCCGCATCAATTGCCTTGCGCCAGTGTACTTGGTCCGGGCCAGACACTGCTTCTTCAAATGTCGACGGCTCCGAAAAATCGACCGCTGCTTCGACGGCGTTTGCACTCGCATGCCAAAACGCGGAGGAAGTCGGTGTGTCATGTTGTTCCTCCGACTTCCTTTCTTCATCTTCGTTGGCTCGACGTGAAGAGATGTCATCCGGCGCACTTGACTCTTCCAATCCGGGTCGTTGGCGCACTGCTCGGGGCATGCTTGCGTCGTCATTGTCGTGACTGGGTTGGGCCTTGCGCTTTTCTGTTTGTTTGAAGTGTCTCGGACGCGGTTCTTCATCATCAAGATCGATCGATTCGAAGTCCAGGCCATCAACATCGTCATCGGAAATCAGCATCGACATTCCAAAGGCCGACTCATCGAAGTTGACATCGCGACTTACCATCACCTGCCCCGCTTCGATGTCGTAAACTCGATACGCCTTGGACACTTCTTCGTAGCCCAAAAACAATCCAGCCCGGGCCTTGGGATCCCACTTGAGTCGTTTCTCCTTCGGGGTCAAGATGTATGCTTGGCACCCAAAAACGCGCATGTGCTTGACACTTGGCTTAGAATTGTAGACAATCTCGAACGGTGTCTTGTGTGGAATCTTGGGTGACGGCAAACGGTTCTTCACATAGACGGCCGTCATTGCCGCTTCAGCCCAGAAGCACTTGTCCAACTTGGCATGATGGAGCATGCTACGACCGATGGTGACGATAGTTCGAATCGCGCGTTCAGCAGTTCCATTGGCTTGATGTGCGTATGGCACCGTGGTTTGTTGCTCGATGCCTTCGACTTCGTAGAAATCTTGAAGCGAGTTCGTCGCAAACTCGCGGGCTCCATCGTGTCGCACAAATTTGACCTTCTTGTTGAACTGCGTCTGTATCATCGTGATGTACTTCTTGATGCACTCTTCGCTCTCTGACTTGGAATGCAGACAAAAAACCCTTCATGCATCCGCTGGCTTCATCCACGATCAGCAGCAGATACTTGCTGCCACCCAGAGATTTTTCTTCCATGGGTCCGCAGATGTCGAAGTGGAGCATCTCGAAGGTGTTGTAGGTGCGCTTGTCACGGTTGCTCGGGAATGGTTTTTGGACCATCTTCCCTTCTTGGCATCCTCGACACACACTTGATCCATTCGGCTTGGAAGGGATGTGAGCGTCCTTGATCATGTGGCTTGTCACCATCCTGCGAAGCACGTCGACTGGAGCATGGCCCATTCGCGCATGTAGATCAACAGCGTTGCTGAGTGATGTCGCATTGGCCGATCGCTGCGTCGTGCGAAGCCAGTAGAGTCCGTCTACAAGATCCGCAGCTGCCACCACTTGATTGGAATCCTTGCGAGCGACGTACATCGTATCCCCGTCAAACACCACTTGGAAGTTGCCGTGCTTGTTAATCTGCGGCACCGAGAGCAGATTTTTGCTCATGCTGGGCACATAGAGCGCGTTCTTGATCTCGATCTCGCGCTCTTCCCCGTTTGGCAGAATCACCTTTCCACGATGGTCCCCACACCTTTGATGGCCGCCTTGTTGCCATCAGCCACCAGGATCTCGCCATCATGGCCTTCGACCAAGCTTGCAAACTTGAACTTGTCGTGGCAGATGTGATGTGTTGCCCCGCTGTCAACGGCCCACATTCCTGGTCCATTCTTGTTCGTCGAAACTCCGCATTCGAACGAAACTGCAAACGCCACTCGATCGTAGCTGTTGCCTTCATCATAATGTCGCCACTGGACATTGTTTGCCCCGCGTCCACGACCATTGCCGCCGCGTTGGGCTCCTCGACTTTCATCCTTTTGCTTCGTCCAGCAACGCTCTGCCGTGTGCCCCACCTTGCCGCAGTATGTGCATTGGTAGGGCTTGCGCTCGGTACTGAATGCCTTTGTCGCATCTTCAGTCTTCACCGTTGTCGTTGCCGTTGTCATCTTCTCGCCTTGTCGCTTGATGTGCTCGTTAGTCAGCACCTTGACCACATCTTGCGTGCGCAGCTCTGCATTGCTCATCTCCAAGTTCAGAACCACGTTCTCGAAACTCTTCGGGAGACTGAGCAGCAAGCAGATCGCAATGTCTTCGTCTTCCATCTTGGCACCGATGCTGCTGAGCTTGGCGCCGATGTTCAAGACTTCGTTGCAATGGTGCAAGACGTTGGCACCTTCCGCCATCTTGATGCTGAACAGCTGGCGCTTGAGGTAGATGCGTCCCGCCTTCTGCGACCCACCATAGAGCATCTTCAACCGCGACCACGCTGTCCATGCTTCTTCACAGTTGTCGACCACGTGGTGGTAGTCGGCGTCCATGTGGAGCAACATCAACCCGAACGCGATGTTGCTCGCCTTGACGTACTCGTCGGAAGCTCGCGTGTCGGTGAAGGTTGGAGACGTTTCGCGGTTCACGACGTACCAGACTGACTTCGTCAGAAACACGCCGCGCATGTAGCGACACCAGGTTGAGTAGTTGTCCCCATCGAACTTATCGATGGAGACACTGGCCGAGGTGTTGTTGGACGACATGGCGCTTGGGCTCATAACCTGTTGTAACTTGAGCGCGAGGCGAAGAGAAAACGAAGCGGAGAGACCGGAGAGAACGAAGCAGAGAACACTTGCTCACTTGAGGGAGGATTCGAAAGTGATTGATTTATAGGTCTTAACTTCTGCCTAACCTAGACTGCATCCAATCACATGGTGCATCTAATCAACCTGATTTACACGCGTCCAATCATCCTACGCGTCTAATCATCTCTGAGGTAATTACCGATGTAAAAACTATCTCGTAAGAACTACGCGCTAGGTTCGGATTGTACCGGTAACCCTAAATAAGTCCACCTTTGGACTTCCGCCGCCGATCACTGATGAAGACGCCGATGACCTGGACTTCGAGTTGCTTGACCTCAATGATGAAGAGCCGCGTCAGGTGGAGTACAAGCAAACAGGCAAGCGCAAGAACCGCCCCAGTGATGAAGATACAGCAGCTCCACGGCCACGTGCAGTGCATCAACGACCTGAACTAGAAGCGTCAACCGCGCCGGAAAACAACTCGTCACGCCAAGAAGAAGACGAAGAAAGGAAGGATTCTGATGAATCAACTCCGCCTGTGTTTTGGCATGCGAGTGCGAATGTCGTTGAAACAGAAGCAGACTTATCGGAGCCCTACACATTTGAGGTGGCAGTGAGCGGTCCTGACCAAGTGCACTGGCAAATGCCATTTATGCGGAACTCGAGTCAATGCGCCTTCGCAGTGTGTTTCGTGCAGCCAATCTGCCCAACGAACAATGCGCCATTGGCACAAAGTGAGTGTTTAAGATCAAGCGCAAGGCGGTTGGGTAGATCGAGAAGTACAAGGCACGACTTGTGGCCAAGGGTTTCCGCCAAAAACATGGCATCGACTACACGGAGACATTTTCATCCGTGTTCAAGTATGTGACGCTGCGAATGGAGATTGCAATATCCAAGCCCTTTGGATGGCCCATCGACCAGCTTGATGTGATGACGGCTTTCCTGCATGGCGTCATGAAGGAACAAGTGTTCTGCGTGATTCCTGAAGGCGTTGAACTTGATAGTACGTTCGATTGCCTGGAATTGATTAAGGCAATTGTGGCCTCAAGCAAGCGTCGCGAATGTGGAACGAGACGTTCGACGATTTTGTGTGCTCCATTGGAATTCAAGTATCGGAGTTCTACCCATGTCTCAAGATCAAGACTTCGTTCGGCCATTGTGTATTTGTACTGGTCTACGTGGACGACGTCTTGGTGACTGAAAGCTCGCTCGAGCTAATTACACGAACCAAGAACGACCTGAAGACACGTTTCGAGATGACAGACTATTGAGGGTTACCGGTACAATCCGAACCTAGCGCGTAGTTCTTACGAGATAGTTTTTACATCGGTAATTATCTCAGAGATGATTAGACGCGTAGGATGATTGGACGCGTGTAAATCAGGTTGATTAGATGCACCATGTGATTGGATGCAGTCTAGGTTAGGCAGAAGTTAAGACCTATAAATCAATCACTTTCGAATCCTCCCTCAAGTGAGCAAGTGTTCTCTGCTTCGTTCTCTCCGGTCTCTCCGCTTCGTTTTCTCTTCGCCTCGCGCTCAAGTTACAACAGGTTATGAGCCCAAGCGCCATGTCGTCCAACAACACCTCGGCCAGTGTCTCCATCGATAAGTTCGATGGGGACAACTACTCAACCTGGTGTCGCTACATGCGCGGCGTGTTTCTGACGAAGTCAGTCTGGTACGTCGTGAACCGCGAAACGTCTCCAACCTTCACCGACACGCGAGCTTCCGACGAGTACGTCAGGGCGAGCAACATCGCGTTCGGGTTGATGTTGCTCCACATGGACACCGACTACCACCATGTAGTCGACAACTGTGAAGAAGCATGGACAGCGTGGTCGCGGTTGAAGATGCTCTATGGTGGGTCGCAGAAGGCGGGACGCATCTACCTCAAGCGCCAGCTGTTCAGCATCAAGATGGCGGAAGGTGCCAACGTCTTGCACCATTGCAACGAAGTCTTGAACATCGGCGCCAAGCTCAGCAGCATCGGTGCCAAGATGGAAGACGAAGACATTGCGATCTGCTTGCTGCTCAGTCTCCCGAAGAGTTTCGAGAACGTGGTTCTGAACTTGGAGATGAGCAATGCAGAGCTGCGCACGCAAGATGTGGTCAAGGTGCTGACTAACGAGCACATCAAGCGACAAGGCGAGAAGATGACAACGGCAACGACAACGGTGAAGACTGAAGATGCGACAAAGGCATTCAGTACCGAGCGCAAGCCCTACCAATGCACATACTGCGGCAAGGTGGGGCACACGGCAGAGCGTTGCTGGACGAAGCAAAAGGATGAAAGTCGAGGAGCCCAACGCGGCGGCAATGGTCGTGGACGCGGGGCAAACAATGTCCAGTGGCGACATTATGATGAAGGCAACAGCTACGATCGAGTGGCGTTTGCAGTTTCGTTCGAATGCGGAGTTTCGACGAACAAGAATGGACCAGGAATGTGGGCCGTTGACAGTGGGGCAACACATCACATCTGCCACGACAAGTTCAAGTTTGCAAGCTTGGTCGAAGGCCATGATGGCGAGATCCTGGTGGCTGATGGCAACAAGGCGGCCATCAAAGGTGTGGGGACCATCGTGGAAAAGGTGATTCTGCCAAACGGGGAAGAGAGCGAGATCGAGATCAAGAACGCGCTCTATGTGCCCAGCATGAGCAAAAATCTGCTCTCGGTGCCGCAGATTAACAAGCACGGCAACTTCCAAGTGGTGTTTGACGGGGATACGATGTACGTCGCTCGCAAGGATTCCAATCAAGTGGTGGCAGCTGCGGATCTTGTAGACGGACTCTACTGGCTTCGCACGACGCAGCGATCGGCCAATGCGACATCACTCAGCAACGCTGTTGATCTACATGCGCGAATGGGCCATGCTCCAGTCGACGTGCTTCGCAGGATGGTGACAAGCCACATGATCAAGGACGCTCACATCCCTTCCAAGCCGAATGGATCAAGTGTGTGTCGAGGATGCCAAGAAGGGAAGATGGTCCAAAAACCATTCCCCAGTAATCGTGACAAGCGCACCTACAACACCTTCGAGATGCTCCACTTCGACATCTGCGGACCCATGGAAGAAAAATCTCTGGGTGGCAGCAAGTATCTGCTGCTGATCGTGGATGAAGCCAGCGGATGCATGAAGGGTTTTTGTCTGCATTCCAAGTCAGAGAGCGAAGAGTGCATCAAGAAGTACATCACGATGATACAGACGCAGTTCAACAAGAAGGTCAAATTTGTGCGACACGATGGAGCCCGCGAGTTTGCGACGAACTCGCTTCAAGATTTCTACGAAGTCGAAGGCATCGAGCAACAAACCACGGTGCCATACGCACATCAAGCCAATGGAACTGCTGAACGCGCGATTCGAACTATCGTCACCATCGGTCGTAGCATGCTCCATCATGCCAAGTTGGACAAGTGCTTCTGGGCTGAAGCGGCAATGACGGCCGTCTATGTGAAGAACCGTTTGCCGTCACCCAAGATTCCACACAAGACACCTTTCGAGATTGTCTACAATTCTAAGCCAAGTGTCAAGCACATGCGCGTTTTTGGGTGCCAAGCATACATCTTGACCCCGAAGGAGAAACGACTCAAGTGGGATCCCAAGGCCCGGGCTGGATTGTTTTTGGGCTACGAAGAAGTGTCCAAGGCGTATCGAGTTTACGACATCGAAGCGGGGCAGGTGATGATAAGTCGCGATGTCAACTTCGATGAGTCGGCCTTTGGAATGTCGATGCTGATTTCCGATGACGATGTTGATGGCCTGGACTTCGAATCGATCGATCTTGATGATGAAGAACCGCGTCCGAGACACTTCAAACAAACAGAAAAGCGCAAGGCCCAACCCAGTCACGACAATGACGACGCAAGCATGCCCCGAGCAGTGCGCCAACGACCCGGATTGGAAGAGTCAAGTGCGCCGGATGACATCTCTTCACGTCGAGCCAACGAAGATGAAGAAAGGAAGTCGGAGGAACAACATGACACACCGACTTCCTCCGCGTTTTGGCATGCGAGTGCAAACGCCGTCGAAGCAGCGGTCGATTTTTCGGAGCCGTCGACGTTTGAAGAAGCAGTGTCTGGCCCGGACCAAGTACACTGGCGCAAGGCAATTGATGCGGAGCTCGATTCGATGAAGCTTCGCGGTGTCTTTCGTGCGGCCAAGTTACCCAACGAACAAAGCGCCATTGGCACAAAGTGGGTCTTCAAGATCAAGCGCAAGGCGGATGGGTCGATCGAGAAATACAAGGCACGACTTGTGGCCAAGGGTTTTCGCCAAAAGTATGGCATCGACTACACGGAGACGTTCTCGCCCGTGGTCAAGTATGTGACGCTGCGAATGGTCATCGCCATTACCAAGCACTTTGGATGGCCCCTCGACCAGCTCGATGTGGTGACTGCGTTCCTGTATGGAGTGATGAAGGAGAAGGTGTTCTGCGCTGTTCCAGAAGGCGTCAAGATGGAAGGTGATTTCGACTGTCTCGAGCTGATCAAGGCGATCTACGGTCTCAAGCAAGCCTCGCGTGTTTGGAACGAGACCTTCGACGAGTTCATACGCTCGATTGGTTTTCAAGCGTCGGGATTCGATCCATGTCTCTACATCATGACTTCGGAAGGCCATTGTGTTTTTGTGCTGGTCTACGTGGACGATGTCTTGGTGACTGGAAGCTCGCTCGAGATGATTGCGCGCACCAAGAACGACCTCAAGACACGCTTCGAGATGACGGACAGCGGCAAGTGTGCGTTTGTTCTTGGGATCGAGTTATTGGACGGTGAAGATGGCAGCGTGACTATGTGTCAGCGCCGTTATGTCGACGATATCCTCAAGCGCTTTGGCATGGATGAGTGCAAGGCTGTGGCAAGTCCGGTGGACGTCAGCTCTCGACTGGTTCCGAGCAGCTCTGCAAGCAAGGTGGATGTCCATTCCGTGAAGCAGTGGGTGCTTTGATGCATCTGACGACTGCAACGCGACCGGAAATCGCCTATGCTGTAAGCTTTGTGTCACGGTTCATGGAGAAACCCCAAGAAGAACACTGGGTTGCAGTCAAGCGCATCTTCCGCTACCTACAAGGCACCAAGATGCATGGAATCTGCTACAAGCCAAGTGCGAAGATCGACTTTCGTGGCTATTCAGATGCAGACTGGGCCGGTGACCTTGCTGATCGCAAATCGACGTCCGGCTACGTCTTCATGCTATTGGGTGCTCCGGTGAGTTGGGGCAGCAAGAAACAGCCAAGTGTGTCACTGTCTACAAGCGAAGCGGAGTACATCGCGCTCAGCCTAGCGATCCAAGAAGGCAAGTGGATCAATCGCTTGCTGTGCGAGATCATGGCGGCTGCAAACGAAGAAGGACCCGAGCTCGTCATCCGTGAAGACAACCAGTCGTGCATCAAGATGACGAAGAATCCGGTCAACCACGGCCGCGCTAAACACATCGACATCAAGTACCATCACATCCGTGATGAAGTCAAGCGCGGCGAAGTGAAGCTTGAATACTGCGAGACGACGTTGATGTTGGCGGACATCATGACGAAGGGACTTCACGGACCGCGTCACAAGGACTTGACGGCGGCGCTTGGCATCCGTGCGTGTTCGGATTGAGGGGGCGTATTGAGGGTTACCGGTACAATCCGAACCTAGCGCGTAGTTCTTACGAGATAGTTTTTACATCGGTAATTACCTCAGAGATGATTAGACGCGTAGGATGATTGGACGCGTGTAAATCAGGTTGATTAGATGCACCATGTGATTGGATGCAGTCTAGGGTAGGCAGAAGTTAAGACCTATAAATCAATCACTTTCGAATCCTCCCTCAAGTGAGCAAGTGTTCTCTGCTTCGTTCTCTCCGGTCTCTCCGATTCGTTTTCTCTTCGCCTCGCGCTCAAGTTACAACACAAACAGCGGCAAATGTGCAATTGTTCTTGGGATCGAGCTTTTGGACTGTGAAGATGGCAGTGTGAATATGTGTCAGCGCCGTTATGTATGAAGATGATATCCTCAAGCGCTTTGGCATGGATGAGTGCAAGGCTGTGGCGAGTGCTGTGGATTTCAGCTCTCGACTGATGTCAAGCAACGCTGCGAGCAAGATCGATGTTCCATTCATCGAAGCTGTTCGTGCTTTGATGCATCTGACGACTGCAACACGACCGGACATCGCCTATGCTATGAGCTTTGTGTCGCGCTTCATGAAGAATCCCCAAGAAGAACACTGGGTTGCGGTAAAGCGCATCTTTCGCTACCTACAAGGCACTAAGATGCATGGAATTTGCTACAGCCACGTGCAAGGATCGACTTTCGTGGTTCTTCGGACGCAGACTGGGCCGGCGACCTCACTGATCGCAAGTCAACGTCTGGCTACGTTTTTGTGCTATTGGGTGCTCCAGTGAGTTGGGGTAGCAAGAAGCAGCCAAGTGTGTTACTGTCTACAAGTGAAGCGGAGTACATTGCGCTAAGTCTGGCGGTTCAAGAAGGCAAGTGGATCCACCGCTTACTATGCGAGATCATGGCGGCTGCTAACGAGGACGGACCCGAGCTCATGATCCGCGAAGACAACCAGTCCTACATCAAAACGACCAAGCATCCGGTCAACCACGGCCGCGCTAAACACATTAATATCCAGTACCATCACATTCGCGATGAAGTCAAGCGCGGTGAAGTACAGCTTGAAACTGCGAGACAACGGTGATGTTGGCAGACATTATGACCAAGGAACTCCACGGACCGCGCCACAAGGACTTAACGGCGCCGCTAGGCATCTGCTCGCATTCGGGTTGAGAGGGCGTGTTGACGGTCATCGGTTTTCTACCAGTCATGCTAATCGTGACCAGTTCAATCCGAACCGCCTGCTCAGCTTAGTGTTTACGACGTAGTTCTTATGTTAATTATCCATAGTTGGTCAGACGCGTAGGATGATGAGACGCTTCACATGATCTAGATGTGCAGCACATCTAAATCATGTAGTAAGCCCTGATAATCAATCACTTTCGAATCTTCCAACTACTGAACAAGTGTCTCCTGCTCTACTCTCTTCAGCCTCTCCATTCCCTTTGCTCCGCTCTCTTCCATGCAACAGATTATGAGCCCAAGCGCCATGTCGTCCGCCACCAACGCATCATCCAACGTCTCCATTGATAAGTTCAATTGAGACAACTATGCGATTTGGAGTCGATACATGCGCGGTGTTTTTTGACGAAGTCTGTAAGAAGTAGGAGTTAAGTATAGTAAATGACTTGTATATTACCGCGCACCAGACGCGTTTCGGCCCCCCGCCGGGGGCCTCATCAGTGCTTTGTCAATCTACAAGTGAGAACTATCCATACGTCTAGCTGCCGTACGACCTATAATAATGCATAGAACCCTAAAGAACATTCTAGGCATACCCTATCATGGGTCGAATCTCTGGAGTCGAATCCAGTGCATCATGCACTTACAACAAAGTCCGTATGGTGTGTCGTAAACCGTGAAGCGACTCCGACTTTCACCGACCCGTGAGCGTCCGATGACTACGTCAAGGCAAGCAACGTCGCGTTTGGGATGATGCTGCTGCACATAAACGCGGACTACCATCATGTGCTTGACAGCTGCGAGGAAGCGTGGGTTGCGTGGTCACGCCTTAAGTCGTTGTACGGTGGATCGCAGAAGGCCGGACGGATTTACCTCAAGCGACAACGTTTTAGCACCAAGATGGATGAAGGCGCGAACGTCATGCACCACTGCAACGAGGTCCTCAACGTCTCCGCTAAGCTTAGCGGCATCGGTGCGAAGATGGAAGAAGAAGACGTTGCAATCTGTCTGCTGCTTAGTCTTTTAAAGAGCTAGAACGTAAAAAAATGTGGTGCTCAACATGGAAATGAGCAGCGCCGAGCCTCGTAAACAAGATGTGGTGAGAGTGCTGACGAATGAGCGCGCCGAGCGTCAAGGAGAAAAAGGGACAGCAACAGCGACTACGGTGAAGGCTGAAGATGCAACCAAGGCATTCAGCACCGAGCGTAAGCCTTACCAAAGCACGTATTGTGGCAAGGTGGGACACACGGTGGATCGTTACTGGACAAAGCAGAAGAACGAAGGTCGGGGAGCCCGACGCGGCGGCAATGGTCGTGGACGCGGGGCTAACAATGTCCAGTGGGGACATCATGATGAAGGCAATGGCTACGATCGAGTGGCGTTTGCAGTCTCGTTCGAATGTGGAGTTTCGACGAGCAAGGACGTGTCTGGAATGTGGGCCGTCGACAGTGGTGCAACGCACCACGTTTGCCATGAAAAGACCAAGTTTGCAAGTTTGGTAGTGCGCAATGAGGCCGAACTATTGGTGGCTGATGGCTACAAAGTGGCCATCAAGGATGTTGGAACCATCATAGAAAATGTGTTTCTGACCAACGGCGAAGAGCGCGAGATCGAGATCAAGAACGCGTTACATGTTCCAAGTATGAGCAAGAACCTGCATCAATGCCACAGACTAACAGGCATGACATCTCCAAGTCGTGTTTGACGGGTCCAAGATGTATGTGACTCTCAAGAACTCACAGCAAGTGTTGGCGACAGTGGATCTCGTGGATGGACTTTACTGGCTTCGTCTCAGCGGATCTAGTGGATGGACTTTACTGGCTTCGACTCAGCGATCGACAAATGTGACACAAGTGAAAACATTGTGATGGTCTACATGCGCGAATGGGTCATGCTACAGTCGACGTGCTTCTCAAGATGGTCTCCAACAACATGATCAAAGATGTGGAAGTGCCTCTCAAGTTGGGTGGAGCACCTGCATGCCGCGGGTGTCAACAAGGTGAAAAAAGTCCAAAAAACATTCCCAAGCAACCGCGACAAGCGCAGCTATGATAAGTGTGAGCTGCTTCATCTGGACATCTGTGGGCCCATGGAAAACGATTCGCTCGGTGGTAGCAGATATCTGCTACTGATCGTAGACGAAGCCAGTGGAGTGGATGCACGAAGGGCTTTTGTTTATATTGAGGGTTACCGGTACAATCCGAACCTAGCGCGTAGTTCTTACGAGATAGTTTTTACATCGGTAATTACCTCAGAGATGATTAGACGCGTAGGATGATTGGACGCGTGTAAATCAGGTTGATTAGATGCACCATGTGATTGGATGCAGTCTAGGGTAGGCAGAAGTTAAGACCTATAAATCAATCACTTTCGAATCCTCCCTCAAGTGAGCAAGTGTTCTCTGCTCCGTTCTCTCCGGTCTCTCCGCTTCGTTTTCTCTTCGCCTCGCGCTCAAGTTACAACAGGTTATGAGCCCAAGCGCCATGTCGTCCAACAACACCTCGGCCAGTGTCTCCATCGATAAGTCCGATGGGGACAACTACTCAACCTGGTGTCGCTACATGCGCGGCGTGTTTCTGACGAAGTCAGTCTGGTACGTCGTGAACCGCGAAACGTCTCCAACCTTCACCGACACGCGAGCTTCCGACGAGTACGTCAAGGCGAGCAACATCGCGTTCGGGTTGATGTTGCTCCACATGGACGCCGACTACCACCATGTGGTCGACAACTGTGAAGAAGCATGGACAGCGTGGTCGCGGTTGAAGATGCTCTATGGTGGGTCGCAGAAGGCGGACGCATCTACCTCAAGCGCCAGCTGTTCAGCATCAAGATGGCGGAAGGTGCCAACGTCTTGCACCATTGCAACGAAGTCTTGAACATCGGCGCCAAGCTCAGCAGCATCGGTGCCAAGATGGAAGACGAAGACATTGCGATCTGCTTGCTGCTCAGTCTCCCGAAGAGTTTCGAGAACGTGGTTCTGAACTTGGAGATGAGCAATGCAGAGCTGCGCACGCAAGATGTGGTCAAGGTGCTGACTAACGAGCACATCAAGCGACAAGGCGAGAAGATGACAACGGCAACGACAACGGTGAAGACTGAAGATGCGACAAAGGCATTCAGTACCGAGCGCAAGCCCTACCAATGCACATACTGCGGCAAGGTGGGGCACACGGCAGAGCGTTGCTGGACGAAGCAAAAGGATGAAAGTCGAGGAGCCCAACGCGGCGGCAATGGTCGTGGACGCGGGGCAAACAATGTCCAGTGGCGACATTATGATGAAGGCAACAGCTACGATCGAGTGGCGTTTGCAGTTTCGTTCGAATGCGGAGTTTCGACGAACAAGAATGGACCAGGAATGTGGGCCGTTGACAGCGGGGCAACACATCACATCTGCCACGACAAGTTCAAGTTTGCAAGCTTGGTCGAAGGCCATGATGGCGAGATCCTGGTGGCTGATGGCAACAAGGCGGCCATCAAAGGTGTGGGGACCATCGTGGAAAAGGTGATTCTGCCAAACGGGGAAGAGCGCGAGATCGAGATCAAGAACGCGCTCTATGTGCCCAGCATGAGCAAAAATCTGCTCTCGGTGCCGCAGATTAACAAGCACGGCAACTTCCAAGTGGTGTTTGACGGGGATACGATGTACGTCGCTCGCAAGGATTCCAACCAAGTGGTGGCAGCTGCGGATCTTGTAGACGTACTCTACTGGCTTCGCACGACGCAGCGATCGGCCAATGCGACATCACTCAGCAACGCTGTTGATCTACATGCGCGAATGGGCCATGCTCCAGTCGACGTGCTTCGCAGGATGGTGACAAGCCACATGATCAAGGACGCTCACATCCCTTCCAAGCCGAATGGATCAAGTGTGTGTCGAGGATGCCAAGAAGGGAAGATGGTCCAAAAACCATTCCCCAGTAATCGTGACAAGCGCACCTACAACACCTTCGAGATGCTCCACTTCGACATCTGCGGACCCATGGAATAAAAATCTCTGGGTGGCAGCAAGTATCTGCTGCTGATCGTGGATGAAGCCAGCGGATGCATGAAGGGTTTTTGTCTGCATTCCAAGTCAGAGAGCGAAGAGTGCATCAAGAAGTACATCACGATGATACAGACGCAGTTCAACAAGAAGGTCAAATTTGTGCGACACGATGGAGCCCGCGAGTTTGCGACGAACTCGCTTCAAGATTTCTACGAAGTCGAAGGCATCGAGCAACAAACCACGGTGCCATACGCACATCAAGCCAATGGAACTGCTGAACGCGCGATTCGAACTATCGTCACCATCGGTCGTAGCATGCTCCATCATGCCAAGTTGGACAAGTGCTTCTGGGCTGAAGCGGCAATGACGGCCGTCTATGTGAAGAACCGTTTGCCGTCACCCAAGATTCCACACAAGACACCGTTCGAGATTGTCTACAATTCTAAGCCAAGTGTCAAGCACATGCGCGTTTTTGGGTGCCAAGCAAATGCGCGTTTTTAAGTCAGCATACATCTTGACCCCGAAGGAGAAACGACTCAAGTGGGATCCCAAGGCCCGGGCTGGATTGTTTTTGGGCTACGAAGAAGTGTCCAAGGCGTATCGAGTTTACGACATCGAAGCGGGGCAGGTGATGATAAGTCGCGATGTCAACTTCGATGAGTCGGCCTTTGGAATGTCGATGCTGATTTCCGATGACGATGTTGATGGCCTGGACTTCGAATCTATCGATCTTGATGATGAAGAACCGCGTCCGAGACACTTCAAACAAACAGGAAAGCGCAAGGCCCAACCCAGTCACGACAATGACGACGCAAGCATGCCCCGAGCAGTGCGCCAACGACCCGGATTGGAAGAGTCAAGTGCGCCGGATGACCTCTCTTCACGTCGAGCCAACGAAGATGAAGAAAGGAAGTCGGAGGAACAACATGACACACCGACTTCCTCCGCGTTTTGGCATGCGAGTGCAAACGCCGTCGAAGCAGCGGTCGATTTTTCGGAGCCGTCGACATTTGAAGAAGCAGTGTCTGGCCCGGACCAAGTACACTGGCGCAAGGCAATTGATGCGGAGCTCGATTCGATGAAGCTTCGCGGTGTCTTTCGTGCGGCCAAGTTACCCAACGAACAAAGCGCCATTGGCACAAAGTGGGTCTTCAAGATCAAGCGCAAGGCGGATGGGTCGATCGAGAAATACAAGGCACGACTTGTGGCCAAGGGTTTTCGCCAAAAGTATGGCATCGACTACACGGAGACGTTCTCGCCCGTGGTCAAGTATGTGACGCTGCGAATGGTCATCGCCATTACCAAGCACTTTGATGGCCCTCGACCAGCTCGATGTGGTGACTGCGTTCCTGTATGGAGTGATGAAGGAGAAGGTGTTCTGCGCTGTTCCGGAAGGCGTCAAGATGGAAGGTGATTTCGACTGTCTCGAGCTGATCAAGGCGATCTACGGTCTCAAGCAAGCCTCGCGTGTTTGGAACGAGACCTTCGACGAGTTCATACGCTCGATTGGTTTTCAAGCGTCGGGATTCGATCCATGTCTCTACATCATGACTTAGGAAGGCCATTGTGTTTTTGTGCTGGTCTACGTGGACGATGTCTTGGTGACTGGAAGCTCGCTCGAGATGATTGCGCGCACCAAGAACGACCTCAAGACACGCTTCGAGATGACGGACAGCGGCAAGTGTGCGTTTGTTCTTGGGATCGAGTTATTGGACGGTGAAGATGGCAGCGTGACTATGTGTCAGCGCCGTTATGTCGACGATGTCCTCAAGCGCTTTGGAATGGATGAGTGCAAGGCTGTGGCAAGTCCGGTGGACTTCAGCTCTCGACTGGTTCCAAGCAACTCTGCAAGCAAGATGGATGTCCTATTCCGTGAAGCAGTGGGTGCTTTGATGCATCTGACGACTGCAACGCGACCGGGCATCGCCTATGCTGTAAGCTTTGTGTCACGGTTCATGGAGAAACCCCAAGAAGAACACTGGGTTGCAGTCAAGCGCATCTTCCGCTACCTACAAGGCACCAAGATGCATGGAATCTGCTACAAGCCAAGTGCGAAGATCGACTTTCGTGGCTATTCAGATGCAGACTGGGCCGGTGACCTTGCTGATCGCAAATCGACGTCCGGCTACGTCTTCATGCTATTGGGTGCTCCGGTGAGTTGGGGCAGCAAGAAACAGCCAAGTGTGTCACTGTCTACAAGCGAAGCGGAGTACATCGCGCTCAGCCTGGCGATCCAAGAAGGCAAGTGGATCAATCGCTTGCTGTGCCAGATCATGGCGGCTGCAAACGAAGAAGGACCCGAGCTCGTCATCCGTGAAGACAACCAGTCGTGCATCAAGATGACGAAGAATCCGGTCAACCACGGCCGCGCTAAACACATCGACATCAAGTACCATCACATCCGTGATGAAGTCAAGCGCGGCGAAGTGAAGCTTGAATACTGCGAGACGACGTTGATGTTGGCGGACATCATGACGAAGGGACTTCACGGACCGCGTCACAACGACTTGACGGCGGCGCTTGGCGTCCGTGCGTGTTCGGATTGAGGGGGGCGTATTGAGGGTTACCGATACAATCCGAACCTAGCGCGTAGTTCTTACGAGATAGTTTTTACATCGGTAATTACCTCAGAGATGATTAGACGCGTAGGATGATTGGACGCGTGTAAATCAGGTTGATTAGATGCACCATGTGATTGGATGCAGTCTAGGGTAGGCAGAAGTTAAGACCTATAAATCAATCACTTTCGAATCCTCCCCTCAAGTGAGCAAGTGTTCTCTGCTTCGTTCTCTCCGGTCTCTCCGCTTCGTTTTCTCTACGCCTCGCGCTCAAAGTTATAACAGTAAGAAGGTCAAGTTTGTGCGACACGACGGAGCTTGCGAGCTCGCAACCAACTCGCTTCAAATGTTCTACAAAGATGAAGGCATTGAACAGCAAACAACGGTGACATATGCGCATCAAAAACAACGGAACAGCAGAGCGTGCCATTAGGACTACTGTTACGATCGGCCGCAGCATGCTTCACCATGCCAAGTTGGACAAGTGCTTCTGGGCTGAATTAGCAATGACGGTCATCTACGTCAAGAATCGCCTACCGTCACCAAAAATGTGCACAAGACCCCGTTTGAGATCGTGTACAACTCCAAACCAAGCGTCAAGCACATGCGAGTATTCGGCTGTCAGACATATATACTGACTCCGAAGGAGAAGCGACTCAAGTGGGATCCCAAGGCTCGCGCTGGCATATTCGTGGGCTACGAAGAAGTGTCCAAGGCATATCGTGTATTTGACATTGAGGCGGGGCAGGTTGTTGTCAGTCGGGATGTCAACTTCAACGAGTCAAGCTTTGGACTTCAACTGCCGATCACTGGATGAAGATGTCGATGACCTGGACTTCGAATTGCTGGATCTTGATGACGAAGAGCTGCGTCAAATGGAGTATCAGCAAACTGGCAAGCGCAAGAACCGACTCAATGATGAAGATACAGCAGCTCCACGACCGCGTGCAGTGCGTCAAAGACCTGGACTAGAAGAGTCAACCACGCCGGACAACAACTTGTCTACGCCAAGAAGAAGACGAAGAAAGGAAGGATTCTTGATGAATCAATTCCGCCTGTGTTTTGGCATGCGAGTGCGAATTATTGAGGTTACCGGTACAATCCGAACTGGCAGCGTAGTTCTTACGAGATAGTTATTACATCGGTAATTACCTCAGAGATGATTAGACGCGTAGGATGATTGGACGCGTGTAAATCAAGGTTGATTAGATGCACCATGATTGGATGCAGTCTAGGTAGGCAGAAGTTAAGACCTATAAACATCACTTTTCGAATCCCTCCCTCGCGAGCAAGTGTTCCCTGCCTCGTTCTCCGGCCTCTCCGCTCTTGCCTTTCTCTTCGCTCGCGCTCAAGCTACAATAGGTTATATCTTTACGCAAGCTCAAGTTACAACAGGTTAAGAAGAGGTTATGAGCCTGTTGTAACTTGAGCGCGAGGCGAAGAGAAAACGAAGCGGAGAGACCGAGAGAACGAAGCAGAGAACACTTGCTCACTTGAGGGAGGATTCGAAAGTGATTGATTTATAGGTCTTAACTTCTGCCTACCCTAGACTGCATCCAATCACATGGTGCATCTAATCAACCTGATTTACACGCGTCCAATCATCCTACGCGTCTAATCATCTCTGAGGTAATTATCATCGATGTAAAAACTATCTCGTAAGAACTACGCGCCAGGTTCGATTGTACCGGTAACCCTCAATACGCCCCTCAATCCGAACACGTGCGGATGCCAAGCGCCGCTGTCAAGGCTCTGTGACACGGTCCGTGAAGTCCCTTCGTCATGATGTCCGCCAACATCAACGTTGTCTCGCAGTATTCAAGCTTCACTTCGCCGCGCTTGACTTCATCACGGATGTGATGGTACTTGATGTCGATGTGTTTAGCGCGGCCGTGGTTGACGGGATTCTTCGTCATCTTGATGCACGACTGGTTGTATTCTCACGGATGACGAGCTGGGTCCTTCTTCGTTTGCAGCCGCCATGATCTGGCACAGCAAGCGATTGATCCACTTGCCTTCTTGATCGCCAAGCTGAGTGCGATGTACTCCGCTTCGCTTGTAGACAGTGACACACTTGGCTGTTTCTTGCTGCCCCAACTCACCGGAGCACCCAACAGCCTGAACACGTAGCCGGACGTCGATTTGCGATCAGCAAGGTCACCTGGCCCAGTTTGCATCTGAATAGCCACGAAAGTCGATCTTCGCACTTGGCTTGTGTGAGCAGATTCCATGCATCTTGGTGCCTTGTAGGTAGCGGAAGATGCGCTTGACTGCAACCCAGTGCTCTTCTTGGGGTTTCTCCATGAACCGTGACACAAAGCTTACAGCATAGGCGATGCCCGGTCGCGTTGCAGTCGTCAGATGCATCAAAGCACCCACTGCTTCACGGAATGGACATCCACCTTGCTTGCAGAGCTGCTCGGAACCAGTCGAGAGCTGACGTCCACCGGACTTGCCACAGCCTTGCACTCATCCATTCCAAAGCGCTTGAGGACATCGTCGACATAACGGCGCTGACACATAGTCACGCTGCCATCTTCACCGTCCAATAACTCGATCCCAAGAACAAAGGCACACTTGCCGCTGTCCGTCATCTCGAAGCGTGTCTTGAGGTCGTTCTTGGTGCGCGCAATCATCTCGAGCGAGCTTCCAGTCACCAAGACATCGTCCACGTAGACCAGCACAAAAACACAATGGCCTTCCGAAGTCATGATGTGAGACATGGATCGAATCCCGAGCTTGAAAACCAATCGAGCGTATGAACTCGTCGAAGGTCTCGTTTCAAACACGCGAGGCTTGCTTGAGACCGTAGATCGCCTTGATCAGCTCGAGACAGTCGAAATCACCTTCCATCTTGACGCCTTCTGGAACAGCGAGAACACCTTCTCCCTTCATCACTCCATACAGGAACGTAGTCACCACATCGAGCTACTCGAGGGGCCATCCAAAGTGCTTGGTAATGGCGATGACAATTCGCAGCGTCACATACTGACCCGGGCGAGAACGTCTCCGTGTAGTCAATGCCATACTTTTTGGCGAAAACCACCCGGCCACAAGTCGTGCCTTGTATTTCTCGATCGACCATCCGCCTTGCGCTTGATCTTAAAGACCCACTTTGTGCCAATGGCGCTTTGTCCGTTGGGTAACTTGGCCGCATCGAAAGACACCGCGAAGCTTCATCGAATCGAGCTCCGCATCAATTGCCTTGCGCCAGTGTACTTGGTCCGGGCCAGACACTGCTTCTTCAAATGTCGACGGCCTGAAAAAATCGACCGTTGCTTCGACGGCGTTTGCACTCGCATGCCAAAAACGCGGAGGAAGTCGGTGTGTCATGTTGTTCCTCCGACTTCCTTTCTTCATCTTTCGTTGGCTCGACGTGAAGAGAGTGGGTCATCCGGCGCACTTGACTCTTCCAATCCGGGTCGTTGGCGCACTGCTCGGGGCATGCTTGTGTCGTCATTGTCGTGACTGGGTTGGGCCTTGCGCTTCCTGTTTGT